CGGTTCACGTCATGTCCAGGGTGAAAACTGGGGCCCTCTCCTGAAACTGTACTGCCCCCGTCTGCGTTATGTGAACACCACCTAAAGCTCTGATGGCATCAGTACAGTTTCAGGAGAGGGCCCCAGTGCGCAGCTCTGAGGATCGACCAGCCGGACTTTAGTGTCGAATTTGACCAGCAGCAGAAGACTTGGACCACCTCATGGAGGTGGTCGGAAAACCAGGAACCAGCCAAACTGCGGAACGAGGTGGCCGGTACCATGTGCCCGATCAAATAAGGCCTGCATACGAAGGGGAGCTCCGTGAATGGATCAAGGATGGCTGATTGATTCCTTACCCTATGAGAATCTTGGACCTCCAAAAGGCCTGATCCGCTGATGGCGGTTGCTCAGCACAACAAAGCAAAGGTGAGGCCAGTGATGGACTACCAGTAGAACTAAGCGCGCATGTTGATGCGTTCCACGGCAGATGCTGACGTTTGTGCCAGCAAGCTACGAGAATGGCGCCAGCAGGGTTCCAATGTCCCTGCTGGATCTAAGAAAAAAGCGTACCTGCAGGTCCGGGTCAGCGAGGCGATGTGGCCATTTCAGACGGTGGTGTTTGCCGGCAGGAGGTACTGCCTTACTAGGCTGGGAGGCGGGCTGAGCGTGGCACCCCAAATAATGAAGACCATCGTCAACGCTGTGTTGTCACAGGAAGAAACAATAAAGAGGGACATCGCGTACCTTGATGATATATATGTGACCGAAGGCGTTGTGTCGTCATCGCAGCGTGAGGTCCCAAACTGGCTGAGTTTGGTCTGACATGGGGACCCAGAACGTTTGGAGGATGGTGCCCGTGTCTTGGGCCTGAGCGTTCAACAGGGCGAGAGAGACCTTAAAATGGGGGCGCGGAACTGCAGTTCCTGAAGTACCCGATGTCTTCACGAGGCGAGCTATATTCTCCTGTGTGGAAGACTTGTGGGGCATCTACCAGTGTGTGGATGGACTCGTGTGGCAACAGGCACCATAAAAAGAAGGGCAAGCGCAGTCACCAAAGGCTGGGACGATGAAACAACGGACGATCTGTTGGTTCGCATGGTGAAGGAGACCATCACAAGAGTAAAGCAGGATGATTTTTTTTAAAGGGAGACTGGTGCGTGCAGGAGACGAACTGAACGTGTGGGTGGATGCGAGCTCTCTGGCGATTGGTGTGTTGTTGGAGAAGAATGGGGCTGCGATTGAGGACGCCTGCTGGTTGCGACCGGTGAATGGCGCTGCTCATATCAACCTGGCAGAGCTCGATGCGGTGATAAAAGGCATCAACCTGGCACTCCAGTGGAAAGTTAAGAAATTACACATACACACTGATTCGTTATGTGTGTACCACTGGATATCGGACACACTGACAGGCAAGGCCAGGGTGCAATACCAAAGGCGGCTAGCGAGATGCTGATCAGACGGAGGTTGGAGACCATAAGAAAGCTGGTAACAGAGTACAACCTATCTATGGATGCGGTGCTTGTCACCTCAAACTGCAACCTTGCTGATAGGCTCACTATTCGTGTGCCACAGAGATGGTATGGCGCCATGAAGAAAGAAACTGAGCCAGTACCATTACTATGTGCTGCCTCTGTTAAGGCAGCGGACAAAAATCAGGAGATACACCACAACAGTGGGCACCCGGATTTGAGACGGACATGCTATTTTGTACAGTTGACCAATCCGTCAGTGTCCAAAAGTGAAGTCAGAGCGGTGGTGAAGGAATGCCAAACATGCCAGTCAATCGACCCGCCCCAGCTAAATGGCGGAAGGGTCGGCTGGGGGTAGACACGACTTGGGGCCGACTGGGTATGGACATAACCCATTACGGCAGCCAGCATTTCCTCACACTGATAGATTGCGGACCGACGAGGTTCGCAATCTGGCCCATTAGTAAGACAGGACTCATCCAGTGTCATCCGAGAATTGGAGTCCATATTTTATGAAAGGGTCCGCCTGAAGAGATCCTTACGGATAACGACACACGGCCTTCTGCAGCGGGGGAGTTTAGGCGTTTCGTGACGAGTGGGGATCCAGCTCAGACACCGCTGTGCATATGTGCCGAGTGGCAGCGGCATAGCAAGCGGTGCCACCGAAGCGTGAAGAGGATCGCGGCCAGGAAGCAGTGCGATAGCGGAGGCGGTCTATAGATACAATGCAACACCAAAGGATGCCGTGACTGCTGCAAGCGCGCCCCGCCAATGCAATCCATCGCTACCAAGTGCGCAACAAGGGCATTGACGCGTGTCTGCCTGATCGGCGGAAACACGAGGGCCGTATAAGTTAGGGGACACCGTCTGGGTGAAGCCTCCCAATAGCGGTGCACCACCAGCTTTCAAAGAAAACGAATCACCGGCATCGTCAATGAGCAAGCAGTGCTGGTCGATGGTACTCCACGCCATGTGAAGGATGTCCGGCCCGCCCTAAATACGAACCAGTTGACTAGTAGCAGCAGTGGTGAATCATCCAGCGATGAACTGTGGATCCGACCTATGCCCCTCGGGCCTGATGGTTTGACTGCGGATCCCGACGCTGATGCTGATAGTTCTGACGCCCCTTCTGAGAGTCCCGATGAAGAAGTCCAGACAATCCCCCCTTCGTAGGAGTGCCCGCAACAAGCGACCGCGTCCGCAATGCCACATGTGTGATCTTGAGACCAGGGGGGGTGTGGACATGAAAATGAGACTAACCTCAGTTCTCGGCATAAGAGGTTCGTTTGTGTCTGGCGTGTAGGGGCAGTAATTGGTCGAAGAAAGAAACACCACCATTACGGTGAGTCGAACTTATGGAAACGCGATCTCGTAGCCGCGAGGATTGGCGAGAGGAGAACTTGGGCATATGCAAATTGGTTGGTGTTCGCTGGGATAAATGTGACGGCGGGAGACCACTCGAGAGAGTTGTGTGTAGCGAACTACGCGGTGTTGGAACATTTGAGTGCAAAGATCTGTGGAGTTGTTGTAGCTGGATTATAGCTGTCGTTAAGCTGAGGAGTGTTTCTGGAAGTAGGCGGTGCCGGGCCAACCCGTTTCCGTCCTATTGTTTGGCCCTAATTTTACGAGACCAACCCGTTCCCTTCCTATTGTTTGGACTGAATTTTGCGACATCTCTCTAGCTTCAATATGTCACGTATAGTTTGTTGGCGCATCATTAAGCTGTAATCGGCGTTTGTTTGAGCGGTGGGAGGTGTCAAAGTTGTTAATTTTAGGGCAGTCAGCATGTCGTTTATGTCGGCTTGAATTTCTTGTATCATGCCTTCGGAAGGCTGTGTTGGTCCCGTTTTCAAGTTGAATAGCAGTGTTTTCTGTTCCTTGATGAGAGTAAATATTTCGGCTCGGGTGAAGCTCGTGTAGTCGTCCATATTTCTCTTGCTGTACGCTTCTGACACCAGTGTTATAGACAAGCGTATGGTTGTAAGAAAGAAATATGACAACAGCAGATTTACGTGATTTATTTCAACAGGAATGTGTGGGATTTGGGACAGCTACCTTGTGGTATAATTCATAGGGCGGCTGAAGATCTGGCTTGACCTCTCATAGTTGGCGTGGTGTACTGCTGCTGGCTGCTGCTGACCGCTCAGCCTAACCGTGACAGGTCTCTTCCCTGGCCTCCTGTTGACTCCTGTTGTACTTCCGTGTGTCCCCTTTTATGGCGTTTTTTTTATGGCTTGACAGGCTCGTAAAACGACGCAAGTATAATTAGGAGGGAAGCATTTTTATTGGTTGAAAAATAGAAACACTTTAAAATATTATTTTTTTTTGACCGGAACTTGTGCGTCGGGAATATGTGTAAATGTGTAAATATGGTCATTTTGTGATGGGGCCTTGTCCCGTTCACATCTGGCTCTCGCACTTGAGTATGTTAGTTTATTTGACTGCAAATCAGCTGAGATATGTCTTATTTTATTTTATAACACTTCCTATAATGAAGTAATATTCTCTGTCATCCTCTTAAGGGGCATCCTCTAGTGACATTTTTGTTCTTTTAGGAAAGTAACCCCACAATACTCCTCTCCATATGGAGAGAATTTTATTCTGCCCACATATACATAAAGTTTGTATATTCTTTGTCCCTTGTAGGCTGAAAAGAAAGAGTCGAACAGTGTGGTTGAGATGTGTGTTTAAACATGTTGAAGAAAATGTACTTGTCTGAAGTACTGTGTCATCAGAGTACTGTATAATTTTCTATTAGGTCAGAAATTAGCATGTTCTGGAAAATATGTCGGTAGTGTAGAAAGAGAGTTCAATGGTTAGTATTAAAATTTTGTTTTCCAATGCTCCACATTGAACTGATTTTGTTTGGAAAGGCCTGGTTTGTTTTGATGTGCATAGATAATGTTGGTGTACAAAAATTTTAACAGAAGCTTCAATTGGTAAAGTTGTTGAGCTGATGTTGGTGAAATTGCTACTGCAAATTGAATACGTGTTTGTGAGAAGATATCTGATGTTATTGTCCATTTTTCATGAAGACGAGCTATCTCTGTGTATTATTAAATCATACTTGCAGATTTCTTTTGTTCAAGTTAACATCTTTGAAGAGTGAAATAGTGAGTTGCCTTGGGTTTCTTTTACACTTTATCTGTTGAGCCTAGGAGAAAGAGTGTTGTTTAAAGTTGAGAAAGAAGTTGACATTCATGAAATAAGAAAAAGAGGATGACAGAGAATATTATTCCCTATTTATAGGCTTAAGGAATGTTCTTTAGTGAATTTTTTTTTTTTTTTTTTTTAGTAAAGTAAGTGGGGATAACCCCACAACAGACATGTCACTGCAGAACCATTACTAAAGAATAGGAAATGCATTAGTAACAAAATTCAAGAAGTAAGCCTTGTCCAGAAAGACCTTGCATTTTACTTGATATGATAAATATTTAATTTAATGAAAAATTTAAAAAGAATCTTTTAGCATCAATAAACAGATTTTGTTTTTTAATTTATTAAGAAACAAATATGCATGTGCATGTCTTGGTTTCGTTTGAATATTCATAGGGAATGGTTGAAAAATGGTTGTTGCAAGTTCAAGAAGCAATGATTAGCAGCATCCGACATGTAATATCTGAAGCTTGCCAGGCTTATACAGAAACAGATCGCAAGGACTGGGTTTTGAACTGGGCAGGACAAGTTGTGATCTGTGTCAGCAGCATCTTTTGGACAGCAGAAGTTACTAATGCAATAACAATAAAAGATGGTCTTAAGGTAAGTAACCTTTCTCATTTGTTTCTCAGTTTCACTTTATACACGGCATACATTCTTGCAAGCACACGCACACATAAATATAGTAGGCTATAAGGAATAGGTGTAGACTGATACACACACACACTCTCTCTCTATATATATATATATTTATATACATACATATGCTCTTGTATTGGGATTCTTATGGCCCATTATGCTCCTTTGCTAGGGCCCAGGTGTTCTTGTGCCACTGAGCACTTTTTTGGGACATGTGTAAATATATTCTGGTGTTTTGAGAGTTTTTCTTTTGTTATCAAGTATATCTTGGCCATTGGACATTTCTCCATCAGTGATTTTAGTTGATTATATTATATGTATTCACCCGTTACCCTCATTATAACACCTTGAGTTGACTGATGTGGTATAAATGCCAATATTACTCAACAGATTAGTGCCAACCACCTGAAAACTACAGGCATAGCATGCAAGAAATTGTCACTCATGGCCAGTTGTATATACAAGATTATTATGATATATATATTTACAATTATTAATAATTAAAATAATATTTTAACAGGTGTATAAAATTTTATTAGAGTAATAAAAGCAGGCATATTAGAAACAATTCATAACGAAAAATTTTGGCATTTTATTTACATATATTTTGGTATGACCATTTTATGTCTGTCTATATCTCTGATTATGATTATTTACATTATTCAGACTGTTATCCTCAAGTACAAAATTAATACCATTACTTGGACATCATTACCAACCAGTAAAGGCAAATCAGGAAATAGCCTTGAAGTTTTGAAACAAGGGAAAAAATTTACAACCATCAGGCAGATGAACTAAGATGGAATTTGAACTTTCCTTAGATCAGGCAGATGAACTGATGGAAAGATACTACCAACCCAAATCAAACATCATGAAACTGGAGAGGCTGGCAATCAGAACCCTACAGAAAAATTAAAGCATCCTTATACTGCCAGCTGACAAAATCAATGCAACTGTAGTGATGGATAAATTGGAATATACAGAAAAACTAGAAGAGCTCATTGCGAATGGTAGCTACACTAAAAAAGGACCCTACAATGAAAACAGAATGCAAACTGTCACAGATCCTAATCAAGAACAAGGACCGCTTCACATCTAAGACATACAAGCAGTTATCACTGCGTTACACCAAGCTACCTTACACATACAGTCTTCCAAAGTTTCACAAAGATAGTATTCCACTCAGGACAATTGCTAACTGCCAAGGCTCTGTGTACCACCCTCTGAATCACTTCCTAGTATATATAATCAACCCATTGATTGGAAAGTCACCATCATATGTCTGGAACTCCGCCCATTTCGTGGAAATAATAAAAGATGCTCCCATCCAATCCAACCAGATGGTGAGTCTAGACGTGATGAGTTTGTTCACCTAGGTACCCATGGAGGAGGCACTCCCACTAGTCAGGGACAGACTGGCCTTGGACTCATCCCTAGGAGAATGGACCAGTATTTCAATTGATAACCTGATGGAGATGCTGACTTTCTGTACGCAAACAACATACTTCAGAATGGGATCAGACATATATTGACAGGATGAGGGCTTAGCAATTATCACCAGCAATGGCAATCCTATATATGGAATACTTTGAGGAAATGGCATTAGAATCAACATCACTAAAGCCAACCCTATGGCTGAGATATGTAGATGACACCTTCATACTCTGGCCACACCAGGAAGAGGTCCAGCTACTACTGGACCATGTGAACTCAATAAGATCATTGATACAGTTCACAATGGAGAGAAAAACAACAACAAACTCGCCTTCCTGGATGTACTAATATCTCAAACAGAGCATGGGTTCAAGACATCCATATACTGCAAGCCAACATTCACTGGACAATACCTCAACTTCAACTCCCACCACCCATACAGTGTAAAGAAAGGGATTGTCTGCTGCTTACAACATCGAGCAAAAGTCATAAGTGGTGACCCAGAGACATATGAACAAGAAATGGTCAGTATAAGCAGTACCCTACAATGTAACAACTACCCTGGGTACATGGCAGCAGCTCCGACAAACTGGGATAGAAGGGTACAAGAGGATAACATCACTCTGAAAACAGCTTCAGTCTGCCTACCCTATGTGAAGGGATTATTGGAGAAAATACAAAAGATCTGTGGTCCATATAACATCAGGACAATCTTCAAAAGTGGTTCAACACTTTGCAGACACCTCTTCTGAGTAAGACCCCCCATAGAGGAGAACATGACTAAGGACTGTGTGTATGCCATCCTGTGCAGCTGTGGTAAGAAATATAAAGGAGAAACAGGCTGCCCCCTTAAGGTAAGACTGCAAGAACATCGTAAAGCGGTAACATGAGGGGAAATAGAAAAATCAGGCATAGCTGACCACATATGGAGGGAAAAGGGAGATCACCAACCCCTGTGGGATGAGGTTGAAATAATAGACAGAGAACATCACTGGAAAATACAAAAACTTAAGGAATCAGCACATATGCTAGGCCACAAAAATCTCCTGAGCCGACCAAGCATAGAAATGAATACAATATGGGAACCAGTAATAAGGAGTGCTAGAGAAAAGCAATGAATAACAAAAAAATTGCAATATAAGCTCTGGTAAAAAAAATGAAATAATAACAGAAAAATGTCCTCAAGGACACATGGCACAGTGGATAAAGATGTTGGTTAGATCTAGTGACAAGACCCAAAGAGTTGTGAGTTCAATACCAGGAGAATTGAGTTAAAGTGAAATAACTGAGACATCCAGAAGAGGCATGGCATGTGAAGCTAGAACAATCTACCCCAAAATAGATTCAAAATTCCAATCACCTGAAGAAGTCCAGAGTGTACAATGGCAGAAACATTGTGAATATGGCAATGAAGATGAAGATAACAGTCCGAATAATTTAAGTGACCATTTTATGGTAGTATATATGTTTTGTTTCCCCTCTTTTTTGTTATGACTTGGTTTTTAATATGTCTGTTTTTATTGCTCTAATAAAATCAACTTAATATAATTGATTTATCTTTTTTCAATTTGAACTCTGAGTTTTCATCCAATTCTCAGCAGATTTTTTGTGAACTGAGTTTATTTTCAGATCATCTTTTCTTTTCTCTATAAAAATGTTTTTATGATGACTTAAATTGTTTGAAAATATTTTTGTCAGTAATGTAAAACTGATATTTTATTAGATCATTTTTTAAATTTGTTTTGTTATTAATGTATTAGTTATTAAGTTATATTAAATAAAAGATATTAATGGAATAGTAATTTTTTGTGTTTTTTTTATTAATTTGAATTTTAATATTAGATTTATAATGTCTAATCCAATTGTTTGCACAACTGTTGAAGTAATTTACATATTGCAAGGTACTACCATTTAGAAAATGAATTTGTTCAAATATTTTATTTAATGAAGAACTCCAGTATTTATTATCTTATGCTTATGCATTTTTTTATGATTTCATTTACATTTATTGTTAATTAATAAAATTGCAACACTTAAAATCAAGGTTGATTTTAATTCAACTTTACAGTTTATAATATTCTATATGGGTAGGTATTTAAATAAATACTACTGTAGTGAGTCCTGATAAAAATAAATAAAATAAAAGATAAAAATAAAGTAACAAAATAAAGAGAGTTCAAATTAAATAAGGCATTTGTGCTTTCCTTTAAAAGCCTTATCTCTTTCTTTCTCTCTCTCTCTCTCTAAACTTCTCTCTATATACTTCTCTCTCAACTAACGAGAAGGAAACTCTCAGATAAAAAGAGAAAGAAGAAAAGACTGAACCCTTCCAAAAAATGTTAGAAGTTTTTCGAGACCAGAGCCTATTGATTTGTGACTGAAAACTAACAAAAATCAAAGACGCTCCATGTATAACTTTTGTTATAAAAAAAAAAATGTAAAAGAAAGGAACACTGGAAAATGAAATAATTTTGGCCAATTAAAAAAATTAACACAAACTTTTGATGTTAGCTGAAGCCAAGGTTCGTGCCAGAGTCACAAAGCCTGGTCAAAAGGATATAAGCTTACACCTCTGAACTAGAAGAGAGAGGACTGAACAAAAGATGCTGTCATGGAGAAACTAGCTATGTGTGACACATGAAATAGTTAAGAGATCATTTGCTAATGATATTTCCTGCCCTTCTGAGGGACAAGAAAAACATAGAAGATTGACACTGACCTATCTCTAATATTACTACTAGCACAGTCTGACTTCAAAACTACCACTACCAAGCTGAAACAGACATTTCTCCAGATTGCTACCAATGTCAACCTTATGAATGAACATTTTACTACATCGAATATCAAAGGACTCACCCTAAATCAAATAAATAAAAATATATTATTTATTTTATACCCTTGAGTCAGTTCGTTTTTATTCTAATTTTTTGAGTAAAGAAAATTTTACTAAAACACTTATGCTTCCTTTTGGATGAAAGGGAATTTATTGGCTGCTGCTAATTAATGCTAAAAGCTCTTCGCTATGAATTGAGCACTCTGGTGGTTACTAATGCTTATATCTCATATATAATGTGTTAAAAATTCCCTTTTTCTGTTGCGTGTGCTGATGGCCTATAGGTGAGAGTTTCTAACTGATGTCAAATCAGTTGGGTTTCAATCTCGGCTTGAAGTAAATACATATCTAACCACACTGATGAGCTGTGATACAGCAAAACAGTCTTTTTTGATTCTCTCTCTCTCTCTCTCTCTCTCTCTATATATATATATATATATATATATATATATATATATATAATCTAATTAAACACCGTTATCATAAAAATCTGAATGGAATTATAAACTCTCCTTTAATAAAAGCAGCCACACAACTAAAAAATAACAACAATATTGTTATCTGACAAGTTGATAAAACTAATACTTTTATTATTTTAAACATATATAAGTACCACTCAAAATTGCTGGCCATTTCAGACATCATAATAGATTTAAAAAGTTAACCAAAAACACCACCTCCCAACTTAAAAACCATATCAATAAACTTGTTACTCCTATCAATGCTGACACAGCATCCTATAAACTTTAAAAGATTATAGGTGACTATCAACCTGGCTACCTTTATGGAAATGCAAAAATCCATAAAAAAGATCATCCCTTCTGACTATCATTTCACAAATACCTACACCAGTATATTACCTTTCCAAAACCCTTAACAAATTAATTACTCCCTACCTATTTCTAATATTACTACTATTGTATTAACTCCAAATTGAATTTATACAAATTCTTCATGCTGTAAAGCCAAACAACCAAATAATCACATCTTTGGATGTACAAAATTCATTTATTAATGTCCCTGTTCATGAAACAATTCACATCATTATCCATAATGTATACAATCACACTTCTCTCCCACCCACCAATATTAAACCCACTATTTTAAAAAAAATTATTAGCATGTACCTTTTCATGACCCCCTAGGTAATATTTATACTCAAATACACAATATTGTGATGGGATCTCCTTAAGGTCTCCATTTTTTCTAATTATTATATGGCACATTTAGAAAATAAGATACTTGATGACATTAATAAACCTCTATATATGTAAAATACATAGATGACATTTTTGTTTTAGCTAATAATATTGATCAAATTACACAACTTAAAAGCGTATTTGAAAGTCACTCCATTCTCAAATTTACACTAGAACTTAATATTAATAAAAAAAGAAAATTCTAGTCTTGATGGATTCCAGCACACATAAATTTACTACTTCTCTATATAGGAAACCCACTAGCATTAACTTGTGTTTTCTTAATTATAACAGTGAATGCTCCCAACAATATAAGTTAGCTGTTAAAAAAAAAATAATCCAATGCACACAAATGATATCTTCTTCCAAAACCATATTCTATAAAGAATTAGATAACATTAAACAAACATTTGTTAATAATGGATTCCCTAATTCCATCATTGATCAACAAATTAAAATTATCTCAATAAACTTAATAATATCACTAACAAAATTGATAACATTAATATTAATAGTGTACATCAAACTATACATAATACTATTGTAACCAAATGCATAATAATTACAAGCATGATGAAACAACACTCAAAAACATAATAGGTAGAAATGTTAAACCCATTAATAAACAACTTAAGCTTATCATATATTATAAAAAATTTAGAACACTTGACCTCATAGTCTCTAATAACTCTACAACCACACAACTAAATCCTCTACAAAAAAACCAATGTAGTGTATCAATTTACATACCCGTTCATATATTATATATCTGATACTAATAATACACTCACTACATATATTGGTTTTACTACAACCACACTCTCCTATATACTTACCTGTCACCTTTCTGATCGTAGTTTTATTAAACAACATTTCTTAGAAAAACATAGCCATGTACATAATATTAGGCAGATATTAGTTGATAACACAACAATACTCACACATACATACAGTAAAAAGAAACTTCAGATATTGGAGACATCTACATTAAAACAAAGCAACCCACACTCAACAAAATTACATTTCAAACTAGTTACAACATATTACATTGCATCTAGACATATGCTTCTGTTGTTAATATTTTGGTCTCTCACATGGTACAACGTCAGAGAATCACATCATGAATTTATGACCTGCGTCTGCTATTCCATGACCATTATCGTCAACATAACAGGATATGATCTTTGATGGTGAATATTTTTGTTTAAATGTCCATATAACCTCTCTGAAGATGACTCATGTGAGTTGAAAGCTTAGATTGAAGGAACAGCATCATAAAAAAAATATCCAAATGTTGGACAGTTTTTGTTTTTATTTTCTCCCAAAATTAAAGCAAATATATGGTGTTTAGAATGGCTCGTGATCAAACATAAGACATTCGTTGTCTATTATATTTAACGGTATATGTTTGTGTATATATATATATATATATATATATATAGAGAGAGAGAGAGACAGCATTGTAACACATTAACTTGAAAATAGTAACTGCTAGGAATGTAACAACCTTTTATATAACACTATTTTACAATCAAGATGTTAACTTATCAAAATCAGCATTGTCTTTTATTTGTAGAGTTACTAGTTAGCTTATCTATTATTACTTGAGTTCAAATAGTTTCCAAAAGTATCTTTAAAGTTAATTATATAATTTTGTAGGGTTTAAGTCAGATAGAACAGAAAAAATAAAAGGGAGGTAAAAAATCAGCTTATTTGACTTCATATGAAATTAGTTCAACCTTGCCTTTTAATTATTCAAGATCAAAGAGGGTTTTCTTGTTTTGTTTTTTTTCTACCCTGCCCAATGAACTTAGTATATTGCTATTTTATTTGAATTTCACCTTAACAATTCTATTTCAGTATAGAGTAGTTTTAAAGGCTTTAAAATTCTCAAACAAGTAAGGAAATTAGCTATATTTCTTTTAAAATTCTTCAATAAAACTGATTTGGTAATTTCTGAATTTTAGCAGTGAAATTTATAGTAGCAATGTGTCATTTAAAAAAATATTGCCTGTCTATTTTTTTGAACATGTTTTTTGTTTTTAATGTCTTTGCAGGATTATCTTATTAAAAGTAACAAACAAATTGAGCAAATTGTTGAATTAGTGCGAGGCCAACTAAGTAGCGGAGCTCGGATTACCCTTGGCGCTCTCACAGTTATAGATGTACATGGTAGGTTCTTAAAACACAATTTAGCCTAATTTACTTTGAGCAGAAATGCTACCATCTTAAAAATATTGCTATTAGGAGTAAAAATAAGAATAATTCTCTCTTGTGTGTCTATATTTTAAAGGTTTGGAGCAATTTAAACCAAATTTGTCTTATTTCTAGGTATCTCCCAAATTTTCTTGTAAGATGTTTTACTTTCACTACATAAAATTGGGGTATGCAAATTTGAATCACAATAACTGAGACTCAGATAGAAGTTTTATCTTTAATGGGTTTGTGGTGAAAAATTATTTGTTGTAATATTTCTTTTCTCCTTACTTGAGGTCCATAATTGCAAACCTTGGTAATACTCAGTTTATTCTCAAAGTCTTTGGGAAATCAACTTACAAATTCTGCTGTAGAGCAAAATATGCACACAATGTGTATGTACACATTAGAATTAGTTGATAATCCTTCAGCTCATTTGATCAGGATCCTCAGTTTTTTCTTGAAAATAGCCAGAATTGGTGTGTTCACAACATCCCTAGGTAAAGAGTTCCACCTGTCTATCACCCTTAGGGTAAAGAGGTTGCAACTGTTTTCAAGTTCTGTTTCATCGATGTGTGAGTGACTGTGCATCCTCTTGTTTGATAAGGTGAAGGAATTGTTCATTTCCATTTTATAATAACATCAGCAAATAATTTATCAATGGATTTGATCAGGTCATGGATGGATGTCATTTACATAGATGAGGATTGCCCTCCAAATAGAGCCTTGGAGGACACCACTAATGACTTCCTGCCAAGAAGATAAACTGTTTTGCAGAACAACCCTTTGTCTTTGTGAAAGGAAGAACGATTACATCCAACTTTGACATGAAAACTATTTGCTTCATCTTCAACAGGAATCTTTGATGAGGCACTGTATCAAAAGCTTTGGCAAAGTTGATCATATCTGTTTCCATACAGTTATTATAGTTCTCAGTTCAGTCATTCAAACATTTCAACTGTAGACTAATTGGCTAGTGTTAAATATAATTGGCAGAAATGCTCAACAAACATTATTGACAAAATTTCCAATAAACAATAACAAAGGACAGAAAAGAGAAGGGCAAAAATAATACAAAGCAAACATCCTGACATCCAATGATCGAGAAAATCAATTCAGCTAATACTTTGTCAATACTTCCTTCAACCTTAGGCAATCCTCTTATGACTATATTTAGCTTCCGTTTCTTCCTCAGTGTGGACCAACTTCAAATGCTTATTGGTTTTAGGTACATCTCTGGAAAGGCCAACAAAATTGTTTTCAAGTTGTTTTATTTTAGTGTTGATTCTATCTAGATCAGTCTTTTCAGCATTTTCAGATACTAATATTTCCAGATTAGCTAGTCTTATTTCCATTTTTCAGAATATGCTTTGCACCTAGCTTCAATTTCAGTATCAGTCTTTATAGCAGTAACAATGGCAGGGCTGCAGTACTCACAAAAAAAGTGCAAGCTTGCAAGAGTCAGTAATGAATATTAGGTATCATCTATGCACAGGCATTGCTGGCAGAAAAATATGTCATATTTCTTGCATGCTATCACATGATCCATATTTCTTCTTTGATATCATCTAACTCGCAAGTGTTAATGTAGACACCTTTGAGTTGGGTTTGAATTTTTTACATTTTAACTTCCAGGGCTGTTTATGTTTAATTGAGGTTGGCATGGCGTTGGATAGCTAGATTGCTCTGAAGTGAAAGAACTCTCTTTGGTTCAAGGATTCTTTGATGAAGTTTTCGTTTTCAGCACAATCTCCATATCAGGTTTCCTTGAAGAGTAGTTATCAAGTTTACACTTCCATCAGTAGTCTAGTTTTTGAATATTTTGTAATATTTCCTATAATGAGATTTGAACATTGATAAAGAAAAATATGAAATTAAGCAAAAAGGAAAATACTAAACTAAACATATTGCATATAAGAACAGAAAAAAGAATTGACTTAATAACAAGGCAAATCAAAGCATTTTGAATTTGCTTTTCATCTGATTTCATTAACTATGAATTCTGGCTTCTATTTTACTTGAAAAAAATCATTGGGATTAATGTTGAGTTTTAAATAATTGAAAATTTGAAAGTTCCTATTGTTAATGATTTAATTACCTCTCATGTTATTCTAATATCTATATGCTAGTGTAAAGTGGAGGCTATCTTTACTTATTTTTTTATTCTGGAAATCATGGAGGACTAGAGATAACAGAAGGAACTACAGTGATGAGAATAGTAGCAGAGGTTATACTAATTTTCAGGGAAGTTCTACTGTTTGCTTTCTCTATTTTTTACCTTTTGCTAGCTTCACAACTAGATAATATAATTTTTTATACATAGAAATAATAATGGACTACCTATGGCTATAAGTAAAAACATATAGCAGTTTTTAAAATGTAACCAACTTAAGCCATAAAATTTGGTGGCTGTTATGCAATAATTTGTTGTGTAATAATCAGTTCAATCTTTTTCTTTCCATCCATATCGAGTTAACAATATGAATCTCCAGACTGTTCATCAAGATAGGTGGCTGAAATTTAGAATTAAACAATCAATTGCTGATATTGAATATTTACTTTGAAGAAAAGTTTATTCATTAATTAATATGTATTGGCATAAACTTTATAGTCAGTAGCCTCATTGCATCACAAGATGTGTGACTTTGTCTTCTTTTTAACTCTGATTACAAACCTCTTCATTGCAACTTGTATATTTCTATCTTTCTGAAACTATCAGTTTCTTCTTTGTCTCTAAGTTTTTTACTCTTTTATTCTTGGTTGGTTTTTCAATTATTTCTGCTTTTCTCATAGATATCTTGGTTTATAAGAATGTCCTCTATTTGAAGATCATAAATGATCAGGTGATCAAAGATTGTAAAGGATTAATGCTTTTGGGTGTTAGTCATTCTTGTCTTTGCTTCTTCTTCACTTGTTCAGGAGACAATAAAAGGACAATTATGATCATTTTATTACCGATATTCACTAGCATTTTATAACCCTCAGTAATATTGTTATGTTGGAAATATTCACATTTATTCTTACTATGGCCATGATTTATAAGCTTTTTAAGAGATGAATTAAATGGTAGAGTTCTATATGTTATAACTATATGAACACTAGCACAAACAAAATGCAGACAGAGCTGCTAACCACTATTGATATTCTTTGATCCATTGGTCAAAGAAACAATATTTAATGTCCTGTCTCTGTAAAAGGAAATCACATAGATGCCCTACCAGAACAGAGCTGGTGTGAACCTGAGGACATCTAGTTATGAAGAAAGTATCTACCAGCTTCCCTGTGAAATAGTCAAGACAGTGTTAGCTCTGCAAATGATTCTTTTTGCTAGCCAATCATTAAAGTTTTAGGCTGTGCACTACCAAGTTACCATTTCTGTCTGTGTTACACAGTGTTATTTGAAATTCATTTGTCCTTGTTTGTGTTTCTGGTGTCTCAGCTACATTCGTACTATATGTGGAGTGTTCCCATGGGGAAATCTTGATCATACCCTGCTCGTTGTGTTTTGCTATTCAGTGCCTTTTGTGTCTGATTGTGATTCTGCTGATTTTTCCATCCCTTCATGTTGGCAGATACCCACACAATTAGAAGAAAATACTTCAAATAATTTTTATACATGTCATTATATTTCAGCTCGTGATGTGGTAAATGAACTGATTGCAAACAATGTGGTCAATACTAATGACTTCTCGTGGCTGTCTCAGTTGCGATATTACTGGGACACTGATGTTTCTGTATGCATGATCACTACAAACATCAAGTATGGCTATGAGTATTTGGGCAACTCTAGTCGTTTGGTCATCACTCCTCTTACAGACCGATGCTACAGGTAGGCTTCAGCAGTTTTTTTAAAATGATACAGGAAATTACTATCAATTTTTGAAAATAAAAAGCTTAATATTTCAAGAATATTTGAGTCAAAATTTTGAAACCAGAATGTAAAAATATGTCTTAATATTTTTAATGGTTGTTATAATTTAATTATTCACTTGAAAAGGAATCATAACACTACTTTTTTGAATTTTTAAAAATGGTTTTTATCCCCTTTTCTAGCATTTAAAAAAATTAATTACTTAATAAAAATACCATAAAAAGTTCCAATGGAATTTGACTAAAATTAGAAAATTCATTTTGTAAAACTTTTTAAGGTAATATAATAGATTTCTGCTTTTCTCAGAATTAAGTTTTCCTCGAGAAATCTATTAAATTGCTTGTGCCTTATTCCATATAAGCATAGCATTAGTTTTAAGATTCTGGCCAGTTAAATAATTATTTCTGCATTTGGAAGAGGAAAATTTTTTATCTACTTAGGCTTGTTTTCTACCTGTAAAATAGAAACTACTAAGTAACTATAAATTGTGGAAGACTTGAAATCAAATAGATGGATAGTCAAAGGGATATTTAATTGCAACACAATTTAAGAGATCAGGGCAAATACATATTTTCGTTGTGAAAGGAACTGATTAATTGATTATTTCATGTGCAGTAATGAAAAGAAAACTCTTTTCTATTGTATATATTTATCTATATTAACAATTCACTTGCTATTTCTCTGCATTTCAATATACTCATTGTAATAATTCTGAATTTCTTTTTACTGAAAATACATTTTTTTTCTCTAGAACACTAATGGGTGCTTTGAAATTAAATCTTGGAGGTGCTCCTGAAGGACCAGCTGGTACTGGAAAAACAGAGACCTGTAAAGATCTTGCCAAAGCTGTTGCCAAACAGGTACTTTCTTTTCTGGTATTATTATTGATTTTATTTCAGAGAAAATGATATTTTAAAGACAGAAATGAACAATGGCTATTTGCACATACAGCCAAATCAATTAGATTGTTCTTTACATATTCTTTGAAATATATAAATTGCAGATAAGTTGATATTCTAGAGAAGAATTTTTTTTTTTTTTTTTTTTTTTTTTTTTTGAAAAAATCATTTCACCCCATGCAAGGCAGTAAAGCCACTAACACACAAGGGGGTTACTAAGTGAAAGAATAAGAAAAAAAGAAACATTATTAAGGAATGAGAAAAACAGAAGAGTAATGAAAATCTAATAAGAAAAGGAAAAATTCTACAAAGTTCATTGGATAGTCATACACGATTAGAAATAGTAATTACTGGTCAGAATAGTATGTAGACTAAGATCTTATTGGTTAAATGAGGAGACATCAACATTTTAAATTAATAATGGTATGTATAAAAACAGAATCTTAATATATGCCACATTCCAGTTTTGTAATAGATTTGATATCAATAAGATATTTCAGCAAATCGTAAAAATAATTTATTGTCTCCTCTAAAAAGAAGATAGAGCTTCATTATCAAATATTTTTGGAAGTTATTGTGTCATTACCACTTGTTATGTCATTGACAATTGTTAATATCCAAATATTATATCTGTGGCTAGTTGCTATGTTTCTGTAATTGTTATGCTCCCTGGGTGATTAAAATTCAATCTTTGTAGCAAAATTAGGTTTGTACTTAGATATTCCAAATATGTTGTATTGTTTTAGTCCAGGTATGTTGTAGCATATTTTAAGATTAAAACTTTTGGTCTCTACTTATACACTGAGAGGTTAAGTTTGTAATTGCTTAGTTAGACAATTACTTTTGTCAATGGCTGGCCTCACTTGTACTTGATTTGTACCCATGCTTTACTAGTAACCAATTGTACTGAAAAATGGTCTTGTAATAAGCTATACTCATAGGTGTATGAGGTGGGGGGAGGTTTTTCAGGGTGAATATCTTCTACACCCACCACCCTGTAAAATGTCGCCCCTTATGCCTGTGGTTATGCTTCACATTAATCTTAAAGGTGAGCACATCTCAATTGATATACTATACACAAATTCATGTCTTGCCCTCAATACTTCTCTAGTTCTATCTTTAGGTCATATGGTAAAGTAGTAGGAGGATGTTGTTAACAGTGCTAGTAAATTGTAGTAAACCTTCTGCTAAAAATTTCAGTAGCCTTTAGTGTTTTTCATGTTCTCCTTGCCTATTTTAAGTATTGTGAATTTCATTTTACTCTTTGCATAATATTTATTCAGTGAAGAATTACTAATGCTAGAAGTATGATTAAATATATTAATTCTTACTATAAAACTGTTGAAAAGTGTTGTCAAAAAATTTCAGTACCTACTGACTTTTTTAATTTTTCTAGAGTCTTGTCCGTGACATCATGATCATCAACATTATATGTACATTTCAACTTCATGTTTCTAACTAAGTTTATCCATCTGTTTCTATCATTGTAAAGTGTTTCAAGTTGTCTTATTTCTTTTTCATCTCTGAAATCAATGCGTAGTTTGTTTGACATCAAAATCCTTTTTATGATAGATAACCAGATTACTTTTAGTTGGTCTACTAGTTGCTTTCCTTTCTTGACAAAGTCATAGTGTTTTTTTTTTCTGGCAGGAGTGTTTGGATCCATCCAAAGAAGGTGGCCAAGATATTGCAATACTCATTGTTTAATGGTGTGACACTATGGTTTCTGTTTAGTTCATTGATAAAGCTTTTTATTTATTTTTATTTTTTTTAAGAAATTCACCCCAAGCAAGATAGGAGTGCTACTAGTACACAAGGGGCTACAGAGAGTGTAAGTAAGGGAAAAGATTGGGTATAGGAGGAGGGGTTGAGGAAAGGATAAAAAGAACTGGGATCAAGGCAGCAAAAGATGTCAATTGACATTACATTTAAATTTTTGAATATTAAAATTATCAGGGAAGCAAATAAGAGGAAGGGAGTTTCGCTTTTGGGAAGTGCAAGAGAAGAAGCTGTTGGAGTAAAAGCAGCCATTATATTTAACTTGACAGTAAAAGGGTGGGGCTGAGATGCCAACCTAGTAGCATGCTTAAATTCATGCAGTTGGGGCACCAGTGAAAATAGCTTGTCAGAGCAGTTGCCATGAAAATATTTATAGAAAAACAGGGAAGCTACATTATGTCGGTAAGAAAGTGATTGGAGTCAAGATCCAAGTCAGAACTGATCACATTGCATATCCATCTTTGGATTTTGTTGAGAACCTTGAGATGAACAGCATGGGCATCAGACCATATATGGCAACAGTATTCCACGCATAGACAAATGGTAGATTTCTAGATGAGAAAAATCTTCTGGCGCGACACAGAGAACTAACTTTCCTTAATTTTTCTGAGCCATTGGATACCGAGTATTCTTCATAGAAATTTACACTGAATAAATCAATTTTTCTATCAGTCATTAGAGTTGTTGTTTACAATTCATTATTATACAGGAAGATGCTTGTAACATAGGTACTGAAGATTTGTATTTTAGTTTTCTAGTTGAGCCTTTTGGATTTGAAAACTGATTCTAGTTTGTTGAAAGCTAATGACACAAGTCCTTTTCTGTTTGTTATGTTGCTGTTGTTTCTAGAAGATGACTCAAAATTTTACTTTTTCTTCACTTTGTTGACTTCCAGACTTTTTTTCTAGCAAGAGTGTAATTTCATCTTTGAGTTGGTTTATTTTCATCATATGACAGTGTTTTAATGCTGATAATATGCTTTTGCCATTGTAAGTAATATCAGGTTTTGTTATTTTTGAAGTTGAAAATAAAGTATGATGTTTTGTGCATTACAATCAACAAATACTTACTTTTATATACATATACATATAATATATATATATATTCATGGCTATTCAAAGTACTGGAAAATAGTCAAAAAATATCTTTCACTGGTTAACATTGTTTTTTACAAATAAAGATGGCTACTTTATTATTGGGTGAGTGATAATTTTCTTTTATATCAATTTAACCAATTATAGCCTAAAAAATCTTGCTCTTTGAGACTGTCAATTTTATGAATTATAAATTATTTATTACAAAAGATATAAAAAGATAAAATAGATACATTCATTTCAATATGAATCATCACCATCATAATTAAAAACATAATCTCACTAATTTGTTTTCTAAAGTATAATTAAATAAAAAGAACTTCAGATACAATTTTGAAATATGAGTTTTTATATACAGTCTTAATGTACCTTTTAATCTTCATATGTATGAAATTCTTAAAATATTTAATATATAAAATGAAACAAACTTCATATCAAATGTTAACATGGAACATAAATTGACTATAAAATTATTACTAGAATGGGTTTGTAAACTGTTTAGCTAAACAGTGATATTAAATCAGGCCTCTTGCCATACTCAACTGTTGATGAAATATTTAACATCTTTTTTCTTTTTTTTCAGTGTGTTGTATTCAATTGTTCTGATGGCCTCGATTATCAAGCCATGGGGAAATTCTTTAAGGGCCTTGCTCAAGCTGGTGCTTGGGCCTGCTTTGATGAGTTCAATCGTATTGAATTGGAAGTGCTCTCTGTTGTGGCCCAACAAATCCAATGCATTCAGATTGCCATTTCCAATCAAAAAGTAAAATTTCTTTTTGAAGGCACAGAATTAAATCTTGATCCCACTTGTACCATGTTCATTACCATGAACCCTGGTTATGCTGGCCGACAGGAGTTACCTGATAATCTTAAGGTAAATCTTATAGTGCTGGTCTTTCATTTTATTATCAGTCAGTTGAATTTTTACCAGATGGACTTGTTTCTTTTTTTTTTTTATCGGTATCACCCCGTGCAGGCAGTAACAAGATGTGGAAGAATTAGGAGGAACAGAAACATTAATAATGAGTGGGAAGAGGAAAGAGTAATCAGGAGGGCAGTAGATAGTGATTGACATTGCTTTTCATTTTTTGCAGATTAAAGTTGGCTGGAAAGTGTGGAGCCAGAAGGGAGTTCCACAAGTGAGAAGTGCAAGCAAAGAAACTGTTAGCATAGGATTTATGGTTACTTCTCGATTGTAAATTGATGAGATATCAATACCAGTCTAGTACTGTGCTTAAATTCAAAAAGTCTAGCTACCATAGCAAAGAGCTCATCTGAACAATTATTACCATGAAAGTCTTTATAGAAAAGACAGAGAGAAGCAACATCATGGTGGTGGGAAAGTGACTGAAGCCGAGTCGCCAGATTGGGACCAATAATATCGCTGATTCTTCTTTGAATTTTATCAAGGAGTTCAAATAGCAAGGACACCAGACCATATGTGGCAGCAATATTCTAAGCATGTATGAATGGTAAACTTATAGATATGTAAGATAGATTCTGGAGATAAAAATTGTCTTGCATAACACAGTCAATCAACTTTCTTCACTTATATACAAAAGAGCTTTATCTTATAATAATTTCTTGATTTTTTTATGGTATTGCTTCAGTTAATATAAGATATGAACAAAATCTATACCTATATGTGATTTACATCTAGAAATTACATTGACTAAAGATTTTCAACTTTGATTCATTGAGTGAACCACAAAGTTCATTCAGTCTCTTAAGAGAAAATAAAAGATTGTTTTTTCATTTTCAACATTAATTTTATTATACAAAATATTTACCATTTTGTTTCAGTATGTTCTACCATCAGTCAGGCAACTTTATAATTCAATCCTCTTACAATTTTTTAATCTTTTCAGCAATTTTTTCAAGGAATGGAACATTTTTTTCATTAAGACATTTCTATAATGGTAAATCAAAAGTTCAATATCTGCTGAATATGGTAGACAAGTGAAAGTATGCATTTCAGCATCATCCTGATGGACTATAATGCCCCCCTTTCTGTTAGATAATTCCTGACATTGTCTTCTGCCAGTATTTGTCTGTAATTTTTTTACTCATTATACAAGACTCCTTTTCAATCTCACCATATACACAGCATCACCTTTGCTATGGTTAATGGTGGTTCTTTTTGCTTGCTCCATGAGATCTTGCATCTCATATTATTAAAAAGTATCTACTTTGTATTGCCTCTTAAAAAGCCTCACATAAAAGCAACTAAACAAACTAATGCAGATGATTTTCATGGTTTGATTTGGATGTTTATAGTATATTAGTCAATTGGTATATCAGATCATGGAGTATTTTTCAATGTGAAATCTCTAGTACAAGACTTTCAAACCATTTTGACTCATTTGTTCAGTCATAGTATTTTATGCATGAACTGTGAAAATATTTTTTTTTATACTTGAGTAACATTTTTAACTTTCTTAAAGTAAAAAAGCAAATGTTGAATGCCAATTGGTTGGACAATTTTCTTCACAGCACAATCAAATATGATCTTTTTGAATGATGTTAACTAAAATGAAATGCTTCTAATTAATTCAGATGACAAAAACTGAACAAATCTTTTTGGGTCACTCAATAATTATGGCTATTGTGCTGTTAGAATCACTCATTGTGCAAAGAAATGTTATGAATCACTCTATTCACCATTGTTTTGTCATATAATAATTTTATAAATAAATAAATTTCAAAGATTTATATAAATCCCTATTTATAAAAATTAATAACTATATTTAATATTTAATTATGACATTTTTCTTAAATAAACCATTCGGGATAAACAACTTAAAACTCTGAATATCTATTGTAGAACATTACAACCAAAGACTTTGTATACTTATCAGAAAAAAATACTGAGAATATGAGAACATTTGCAACTTCAATTACTTAATCATTTTGAAATAGAATCCTTCATTTACTCCGAAAGAATCCTTGTCTGACTAAATTTATAATTGCCTAAAACAATTTATGTATTATGAGGCAAATATTTTTGTTCTTTGAATGTGGCATCACTTTTATTTTTAATTTGTCAGGTTCTATTCCGAACTGTTGCTATGATGGTTCCAGATTATGCCCTAATTGGTGAAATTGTTCTCTATTCTATGGGCTTTGTTGATGCCAGAAGGTAAGATTTTAATTCAGTTTCATAATATTTGGTTGATTGTATTAAATGCACACATTATATTTCATTCACTCATTTCTGTTCTTTAAATTCTGTATAAATTCTTAGACATGCATGTCATTTTCATAATTTTAATATTAAATTATTAATATTATTGCCAGTATGACCTTTAAATATGTGTACAATTTATAAAGAAGTTTAAGATAAAAATAAATTCATCTTTCTTTATTTTCAGTCTTGCTGGGAAAATTGTTGCCACTTACCGTCTCTGTTCAGAACAACTTTCTTCACAACATCACTACGATTATGGAATGCGTGCAGTCAAGTCTGTACTGACTGCAGCAGGAAATCTTAAATTGAAACATTCTGATCTCGATGAATCTGTGTTGCTATTAAAAGCCATAAATGATGTCAATTTACCAAAGTTTTTGAGTCAGGTTGGGATTATTATTTAGACCTTTGATTTGTTTTTCCTTAATTATTGTATATATTCAAGTAAACAAAAATTATTTTAAATATTTTTCTTTAAAATAATATATAAATGATACTATAATATTTTAGACTATCAGTATGAAGCAGTAGGCAGAATCTACAATGTTAGGCTAACAATCAGGCAAATTAAACATTAAGTGGACATTGTGTAATTTTCTTTTAAAGTTAAGCAAAACTTGTCTGTGCACTTTTTTTAATTTCAGACTAATGTTTTTTTGTTGTTTTTGCTATCACAGGGTTTTCAGATGGTTAAAATCTCTAGTTATTTAAAGAGAACTACCATAAGAAAACCTCACCTGATAAGACTTGGCAAATTTAACTCACTGAACAACTAAAACTATGTAAACATTAATTGAACTAGAATCAAATGTTTATGCATATTATAAAAGGAAGTCACAAAAGGTTCAATAGAAGACAAAAGGAAAATATCATCAGTAACCAAGCTATTATTATTATTATGTAAAAATTAATTTCTAAATTAACTCTCTCAAAATTTGAGGAATGTTATAGCAGAGATTCACAGGGCAATAAAATAAAAAGCCTTCATCTTAACTTTTCATGTGGACACTGATGTACCTGACAATACTCCCACCTGTATACTTCTTTATACTTAATACTCAATTTGCCATAAGTCCTGGAGAATTTGGTTATTAATGTAAATTTGAGTTTTAAAAAAAATGAAATCTTTAAAAATATTTAGTGTGAATTGTCCAATTATATTGGATTGATATTATACATGCTTCATTTTTATCTTATGTTCTTATCTCAAAACTCACAGAAATTATATCAACAATTCTATCAGGTCATCCCATAAATTCTGTTCAAATTTTAACTTTTTGTTAAAATGAACGTAATTTAAAGAGTATTTTATAATGTCTAATGGAGCTGAACATTATTTTTATGTTTAGATGCGTTTAAACTGATCAAATTTTATTTCAGAGAACAATAAAATTAAATTTTGTTTGATTAAATCCCTGCTAACATGGAAGTACCCAAGAATCATTTGAGGCACATAATGCTTTATGAGTTCAAGAAAGGAAACTCAGCAGCCGAAGCAGTGAGAAAAATTCACTCAGTTTATGGAGAGGAATGTGTGAATGAAAGAACTTGCAGAAGATGGTTTGCAAAATTCAGAGGTGGAGTTTTCCCCCCTGAAGAGGAAGATCGAACCGGACGTCTAGTTCAGTTTGATGAAGAGCTTCTTGAAGTAGCCCTTGAAGAAAATCCTGCTTTATCAGTTGAGGAATGGTTCTCAGTTCAAACCATACAACTGTTCATCGTCATCTTCAACAACTTAAAAAAGTTCCTAAACTTGGAAAATGGGTGCCTCATGAATTGTCTGAAAACAACCTCAAATCCTGAGTTGACATCTGCTCTTCTCTCCATTCTCGCCAACTTGTTTCACCATTTTGGATAGACTTGTGACTGGTGACGAAAAATGGATCTTTTATTGAAACGTTAAGCGTCGTAGACAGTGGCTTGGTAAAGGGGAATGACCCCAGCCACAGCCAAGAAGGGAACTTCATGGGCAAAAGGTTCTTCTTTCAATCTGATGGGATCGCCAAGGAATAATCCACTTTGAATTCTTATCACCTAATGCAACAATTAATGCTCAAATATACTGTCAGCAATTAAAGCGTTTGAACCAAGCTTTGAGGGAAAAAAGACCTGCTCTAGTGAATCGAAAAGAGGTGATGTTTCATCAGGACAATGCGCGACCCCACACAGCAACAATCACGTCACAGATCGAAGAACTTGGTTGGGAGAAAATTCCTCATCCACCTTATTCTCCCGATCTTGCTCCTTCAGACTACCATTTATTTTTGTAACACAGAATCGTTTGGAAGAAACAGCTTTTGTAACACAGGAAGAAATTAAAACTGACATTTGTGAGTTCTTTGAATCAAAGCCAAAAGAATTTTACAGTAATGGAATTAGTAAGCTTGTTAATAGATGGAAGGAAGTCATAGATAATCAGGGAAAATACATTGTTGATTGAATCTGTAATTAAATGTAACATTTGGTCACTTTTTTTCTTTATTCAAAATTCGAACAGAACTTATGGGATGACCTGATACATTAATATTGATATCAGAAAAAAAATTTTTATCATTTATGTAAAGTTTATTAGATGAGGCTTATTTTGATACTGACAATAATTACTCAAATATTTGAATGTTATTTTCTAATTCTTTTGAAAACTGCAAATGAATTTTACAAAAAATACAAATAATGGTCAGTATATATTACTAAGAATAAATATAACTTTTATGTGAATAGATATTTTAATTTAAACCCTTGGATCATATTTTTCCTCTTAAAAAAAAAAAAAATTCTAAATGCTAACAGATAATATTTTTGGAATTGCTTTGCTAGTAGATACTAAATTGTAACTTGTAATAATTCCTCAATTTAACATTTTTATTATTTTAAAAATTTCACATTGCAGTAAATAATCAGCCTATTTTCACCTTTATGATACTTGATTCCACTGATATGGTATTAAACATCACTATCATAAACCGTTCCTTAGATAAAAAAAATAAAGATCTTTATAAAGACCTCTGTTAAATGACTTGTTTTGCATTAATGGAATTTGTTTTTGTGCATTGAAATAAAACATTTTTTATGTATCAATGTATAAATGACACATGCTAAACCTTTTTATGTGATTGTCTGTTGGTGTTTTATAGGATGTCCCATTATTTGAAGGTATCATCTCTGATTTATTTCCTGGTGTCAACTTGCCTCAACCTAACTATGGAGTCTTTATGGATGCTTTAAAAGAAAATGTCAAAAAGAAACAATTACAACCAGTTCCATGGTTTTTGAACAAAATTGTACAGGTTTGAATATCTCTAATTATTTGATGTATATTTCTTTATTCATAACTTGCTTTCATATCAGAAAAATATTTGAAAGATGATATTCAACCAAACATCTTACCATTCTCTTTTTTTATCTCTGCATTTCTATCTTTCAATTTGTCTCACATATACACATTTCTCATTATATTGCAGATATATGAAATGATTCTTGTTCGTCATGGTTTAATGGTTGTGGGAGAAGCACTTGGAGGCAAAACAATGGCTTATCAGGTTTTGGCAGCAGCTCTAACTGATCTTAATAAAGCTGAACAGTTCAATGAGCATAAAGTCAAATACAGAATCATTAACCCCAAATCTATAACAATGGGCCAACTTTATGGATGCTTTGATCCGGTTTCTCATGAATGGTCTGATGGTAAGATTACAACGATTATTCTACTATTTTTATAATAAGGTTTAAATGTTATCATTAAATAGTTTAAAAAAAAAAATCATAATTTTCAATGTAATGAGCAGTTTCATTTACTCTATCAACTTTTCATCATTGTTTGATATCTATAAGAGATGCTCTGAAAGTAATGCCTCCAATATATTTCTATGGAAACTAATACAACAGATACAGAGAGCACAATAACACTGTTGGATAGAGTACGTTTTCAGCTACAAGACACTATTTTTCCACCTACCCACCACAATCAGCTATGCATCTTTGCCAGAAATGCACGCTCATATCAAAACATGGCTTGTCACACACATCACTGAGGCACTTTACCTACTAGCTGTGTTCACATTCACTATTTGGTCTCTGTAAATTATCAGCAACTAGCAATGAATGTCAATAGGTGCAGTTTTTTTTCCTGCACAGAGAAATTCAGTGATTTAGTGACATAAATGTCACTTTCATGTCATTTTGCTAGACTCCCACAGCTGCTATCTATAATAAGGCAAAAAAATGGGTTATTGGCAGGAAGGTTTAACTTCTACAGCTATACCACTGACATAATATCATGGGAGCCAACGTAATAAAATAGGAGGCATTACTTTGAGAGTAATCCTCATATTTTGACTGTTTATTTTTCTACTTGATGAAAGGAATTATCAAAATTAAATTATCTTTTCTTCCCGCTCAGGTGTTTTAGCTAATACATTCAGAGAATATGCTTCTGAGCAAACAGAAGACAGAAAATGGATTTTGTTTGATGGTCCTGTTGATGCTGTATGGATTGAAAATATGAACACTGTTTTAGATGACAACAAAAAGGTATATGAATAGTTACACTTCAAAAATAAGAAACTGAAAATTATTTCTTTCATACTGTTTATTTTGATTTTAAATAGCTAATCTTCCACTTGTATTAACAAGCTATGCTTTTTTATTCTTATTTTTTAATGTTGAATTTAATTCTTTGTGATGTCAATTTTTTTCTAGTTATGCTTGATGAGTGGAGAGATCATTCAGATGAGTAATTCAATGAACCTCATCTTTGAGCCTGCAGATCTGGAACAAGCCTCCCCGGCCACCGTCAGTCGTTGCGGCATGATTTACATGGAGCCAGATGAGTTGGGGTGGAGGCCACTCAAAGAGTCCTATATGGAACATGAACTACCCTCACATTTAGAAGATGATCACCGACACCTGATCAACGATTTGTTTGAATGGCTTCTACCTCCATGTCTGTACTTCATCCACCACCAATGTCGCTTGTTTATTCAAGTGTCAGACATGCATTTAGTACAGTCACTACTCAAGCTCTACTCCTGTCTTATGGATGAAATCAAGACTGCAGAGAATGATGGCCGGGGTCTCTCCAGTCAGCAGGTAAGCTTTCCTTAAATTTTATTAAGATTTTGTTTTCACAGCCAAAAGGAATCATATCCTGGAAGGAAATGGGTTGTTTTCATCAAAGCCAGCTAACAGAATTAAAATGGCTGACAATTTTTTTTTCTTTTTCACAGCAAGATTCACTTTGTACAAGGCTCAAGGACCACTCAAAGTGGAGGGTTACATTAAGAAGCAATTTCTGTGGATAAGAGGAGAAGATAATGGTTAACCCTATACTTGAACAGGTTAAGATTGTAATGATTGGGGAAACATCCTCTTGGGAGTTGTTTTCACAGAGCAGTGGTTCACAGGAAGAAGCTGTTTGAGTAGAACTTACCTCTCACCAATGGAATACAGAGGGAATGTAGGTGTTTTGCTACAATGTGAGTGGCATGGCAGATCCTAGCCATGAAGGTTAGAACTGACAGAACCAAGGATAAGTTGTCTTTAAGAGAAATAACCAAAAACCCTATGGAGGTGCATCAAACTTTCTGATAAAAATGTCAGCTAAAGTTTAATAATAAAGGTTTCTTGCATTTTCTGTATGTATGTAAATACCATAGACTCCTGTCAAGAGTACAGAGCCACAACCTCACCACATTAGGCATTACTCTTGCAGTTTGTTATTTGATAAAATTTACCACGAGGATTTTTTTCTTGCATATTCAAAATCTGCAATTTTTCTTATTCATGCTTGTGTTGTCATGAAGTTAGCCATTTGTTTTTTCTATTATCTTTTCTATATTGGAAGGCAGAAAAATTGCATTTGCATCTGCTAATGTGTCAAAAGTAATATAAGAACAGCCTTTTTCACTAAAAATCATCTTTCTTTAATGGCAATAGTACCATGAACATTTGATGTTGCCTTCAATTTTGTTAATGCATAATATTTATAGATTTCGATTTTGCAAAAAAACAATTAATATTTTTATGCTTTCTGCACAAATATCTAATAATAATAATAACTATATATTATATTCTCTATATAAATTATCATAATATTTTTTACAGTCTAGCACTGTCTTTTAATTTATTAATAACAAATTGTATCACTGTCTGCCTACTCTCATTATGTCTCTTCAAAGGTATTTACATTTTAAAATTCAGTTTTTTAAGCTAAACTTGCCTTTTTTATATTATATTTTGTAGATCTTCCTTTGGCTGCAAGGATTATTTCTGTTTTGTGTGATTTGGACTATTGGCTGTATAACAGTTGGGGATTCACGTAGACTGTTTGATGAATACTTCAGGACATTGATTAGTGGTACAGATCCTGATCATCCCAAACCAAAGACAATCAAAATCACAAAGGTATGAGAGGTTGACATATTGCCTAATTCCATCCTTAGGTAGTGTGTCATACAAATGCTCTTGAAGTCTGTCAACCCTACATCAGGTCCCAAAATATTTGTCTGTAACAGAGCCTGAGTAAATGGCAAGATTATCAGCGGTAGTAGTTTATAATGGATTTTAATTTTCAATCTGACATTTTTATTACTTCAAATGTTATTTTTTGTGAATACTCATATTTGAGTAGACACTCTGTAATTAGATTGGTTTAGCTAACAGATAATTAGCATAAAGAGAGCTATAACTATAGCTCATGGGCAACCTTGAGTCAGTGTATATAGAACATATACCAAATTTGACCATCATAACAAAATGGCATCACCTGACGGAACTCTGTTAAACACAGAAGAACATGAAAATGTAAGGAATTGGATAAAATGCTTTGAGGCACATACCAGAATAGAGAAGTCACGAGATGACCAAAAACTCGAAGGACAGAAAGAAATCATGGATCTATTTTTGGCCACTGCAGGATATGAAGTCATTAGGCATATTTTGTTAATGAAAACTTGATATTTAAAGAAGTCAAAGAAATAATAGTGAAAAATATTCAACCAAAGAAAAGATTGGTCATAGCTGAAAATAGAGATGTGTTATATACTGTGCCTATGAACACTAATGGGTATGTCCTAATCCTTATAAATATGTTGGACACTATTGTAAGTGAGGGTAATATACTGTCTGAATAGTCCACCACTAGCAGTAGTTTATCTACTTCAAGCTGCTGGTGAGTATTGTATTTTGTTAATGTTATAAAGATTACCATTTCATTTCCAGCCTCCGTTTTGGTTATTCTTAATTCAGTAACTTTTTCTAGGTTAAAACAAGATGGGATTAAAAGTATTTTCTTCTCAGCGAGAAAAGATTGGAACTTTCCTACCAAGATTATTGTTCAGTTACAGAACAATACCACATGCTGACAGATTAGAGAGCCCATCTGCATTAATGGGCAGACAGATTAATGCTTCATTAACCATGTCTTACTCTATTAATGAAAACCTATGGTATGAAAGAAATAAAGAAAATGAGCCAGAAAAGGCAAATTTCATAATGAAAAAGGATACAACATGGAATTATATGCAAGAATAGTAAAAATATTGTTACCCATGCAGACCAGTTAAAAGCTAGACAAAATTACAAGGAAGTACAAAGCAAAGCTAGTTCAAATGACTACGTAGATGAACAAAAGAGCAGGGCAGAGGAATCAATGGACAATCATAGTTCTTTGGAAGACTTGGAGTACCAAACATGGGACACTGAAAATAAAAGAATTAGATCAGGGTCCCCCTAAATGAGAAATATTTGTGAAACCAGTGAGAGGCGGGGGAATGTAGGAAAAGCTATAGATCCATGTAGGGCATGAAACCCAAAAGATTCAGGGAGATATAATGGGATTGGTTTAGCTAATACGTAATTAGCATAAAGAGAGCTATAACTATAGCTCACAGGCAACTTTGAGTCAGTGTATGTAGGACATCTACAGCTACCAAGTTTGATCATCATAACACACTCCACTTATTTTTTAAACAGTATTTATTTCATCTACCAGCCTGCGTAATCTAGAAAACTTACAAAAGAAAATGTGCCCTCTGGCAGGATTTGAGCATGTGTCCTACCCACCACAATTCCAGGGGAACCACAATCTGATCTGGCTTGCTTTTACCATCCAATTATGAAGAGATTCACAATAAAGCAAGGTTCTATTTTGCTTTTAAAGCACACTGGCTTGTTCAGATTATCCCGAAACACATATCTGCTCAGTAAACAATGCCATTTCTAAAGAATTAATGGAATTTATTTTTCGATCCAATATATTTTTATTAATTCAAACATTGTTTTTAGCGGAGTATTTGATTAGACACTCCAGATCATTACATTACAGATTTTGGGAGGGGGGTGCTGGGATAAAAAGTGAAGAAGAATTGATCATTCCTGTGACAATTTGTGAAAGAAAGTTAAAAATTGCTGTAGATGTATTTATAGTAATATTCTATTAGCAATTAGTCAGACCTATAATGACAAAATTCACAAGGTGATAGTTGATAGAAAAGCTTTCAAATAGGACTTCAGCTAATCTGGACATTATGTGATTCCAATGTGTGCATGGACAGATGAAAGCTACAATGTCATTCTACATGTAGAAAATTTGACACTGTTGAGCAAGGAAGAAAAACAATGAAAGCCCAGTTTGTTCATGCTTTGAAATAGAGGCTGATTCGCTTGTTGAAAAATGATGGCTGTGAAGTTTTGCTAGAAGTTGAGACATGCTGTGATAACTGTCAGATACAAATGTACTAAACCAAAACTCATTACTGCTTTGCCAAAAGTGGACAGGTTCAATAAGGTTGTTTACATGGAGGTCAAAGAAGTTACTAAATGAAAACTCTGGATTTTGCTCTTGATAGACAGTGCCATATGATATACAACATCAGTCCTAATTCAGTCAAAGAAGAAAGATATTTTTGTCTATAAGATTTTCAAGATTTGGAGCACCAGTGACGTTTGACAGTGATTACGGAGGAGAATTTAATAGTAATGGCATGGTTGGAAGAAATAATGGAATTTTGTATGAAACTATGATGAAGACCAAGGAGGATGCTAAATGTAACATGGAAACAGCATTGGTATGGGAAATGTGTGCAAAAAGATTCTCTATAAAACACATTTGGATATAGTCCGAATCAATTTTGGAGGAAAAATGTGAATATCCCTTTAGTATTAATTGATGAATTACTAGCACTAGAGTTTTCAACACATAGTGACCTTGTTTGTGACAACTTTAATGCTCACCACCATACCAGAGAAAAATTTATTAAGGCAGACTCTTTGAAAAGAATAAGAACTCTCAAACACAATGTTCATACTTTTGTAGAAGTTGAATTTATACTTGATAAGAGAATCTACTTTAAGCATAACAAAGACTAGGGTTTGAAGAGAACCTACTATGATGCTTGACAAAAAAAGCAGTTTATTCACCATGGTAGTGAATACTGCAAATGTCACTCTTGTCAAATGAAGAAACTTAACAATCAAGAAGTGCAAGATAAGTGTATGAAGAAAAAACTGATGAAACAAAATATTTAGCAAAAAATCAACAAAAGAAAAAATGAACAGGTGAATGCTGATCCATGCTCTGATGATGAAAGTGAAAATGAGGTTGAAACTGAGATGCCTAATTGGGAACCAATATCTGTTACTGACTCACACTCTGGAACTCTAATGTCCATAGTGAAGTTGTAGATGAATTCACTGATCAGTCTGAATGGGAAACTTTATCGATTTAAATTTGTTAATCATCACACTAAGATAATTATCTATGTAAGTTATTGTGGAGTTGTAAATATGAAGGTGTAAAGAGATTGCAAATGACATTCGTCTTGAGATCCCATATGTGGCCTCATTATCGTTCTTTATCTGAATTAGTAATCTTGTCTTTTCTTTTTCTTTTTAAACCAGCCACTCCAATCAGTGGGTTGATGTTTGTGGCAGTGAATACTTTAAGAGATAACACCTTAATCAAAGCATTTTTAAAGACTTACAGCTTATATTATTTTACAAATACTCATTCAAAATTGCCTATTGATAATATTGCTTTGCAATTTACATCAGCTGGATGTAATTACTTTGTAAAAGTTTTTTTTTTACCAAATACTCATTTCAAAATGGAAGCATTAATTTCAATTTCCTGTAAAAATGTATTTTCCTGACTGATACTTATAAAATGTGATATTTGTAACTGCTGTAAATAATCACAAACATATTAAAGTTCATACTGTACATCTTCACATTTCTGTTGTATTTTGATTATTTTCTAATCAAAAGTACAAATTTTTTATTAGAAGAAATTTAATTTCCAAATGGAATGTAGACAATTGGAATGAAAAAAGAATTCAACTGGCATGCCATGAATTTTTACATTTGATTAGGTTTCCAATGCTAGTATTCAGCTAATTTTAATATCAGAATTAGCATTTAACATTGAAGCCCTGTAATTATTTCCTTTACTGACTTAAATCTGTTAAATTCAAACTCATAAGCTAACATTAATTCTTTTACTTTAATTGAGTTTTACATTTTTTTCTTTATTTAAAGAAATGTTCTTTTTTGCAGGAAATCTAATAGGAGAATTTTGTACATTAATTTTCTTCCTTGATTTTTTTATATTAATTTCAGAGTAATGCAGTTCCTGAGAAAGGAACAGTTTTTGATTATTGCTTTGAGAAGAAAGGCTCAGGAAATTGGATTAACTGGATGGATACTTTGGACAAAGGAATTCAGTCTATACCGCCAAATGCTAAGGTAAATTTATTTTCTGTCAGAGATATTGTTTAGCATTAACTTATTATTATTAAATATTAAACATTTTGGGCTCTTTCATGTTGGTATATACTTATTCAGTTTAATGCTGCTCCTTTTTGCATTGAATCAATATATAGAAGAACTGAATTGATATTTTATGATAGGTTTCTTAAATAGTTATTTTTATTTTTCACTATGCAAATGTATTTTTTAACTAACACATGATCCAAAATTGGGCCAGAAGTTCAGCCTCAAATACGGAAGAGAGTACATTTACTTAAATGAATGAATGAATGGAATGAACATGTACATAGGACCATTAATAATCCCATAAGCCTAATCATGAAAGACACTTTTTTTTTCTTACATAACAAATATTTATATTTTCAACATCATATTCTTCCTTGTCAATACATATAAATTGGTGGTGAATATTAATCACCTAAATTGAAAATATACAGTTGAAATTTCAGCTCCAAATTCAGTTAATGGTTATATATGCCAGGCAACTTCTTAGAAACATTAAGTACTGAGTAGAGCCATTATGAGAAGTGGGTAATCAGCTGTGGTCATTGTTTACTATTTAGCAGTCAAATGTGCAATTTTTGTTTTATCCTAGACTGATCCACTTTGAGTTCATTGTTTATATTTCATTATATTTAATAAATAAAGTGAAAGACTTCTAATGCAAGAATTGAATCCAAAATTTAAAAAAAAAATCAAACAGTGTTGTACTAAAATGTTATTCAATTTGTCATTTATCTCAATATAATAAAACATTTTTAATTGATGATGATAAAAAATAAGAATGCATAAATGCTTCTGATTTTCTAATCCAGAATTAACACAGGACTTTTTGAATCTATAAGAATTCATAATTGAAACATTTCTCTTGGTTTTACAATTCTGTAATGCAACTCACAAGATGATATTTCAATTCAGTTTCATTATTTTAGTTTATGAATGGACATTATTATTATTGTTGTTGCATTAATAATTGTATTCATTTTTATTATTAATTAACATTCTTCTTTGATCAGGTGAGTGAACTGATAATCCCCACAACAGAGACCATATTTCAGCAGTATTTCCTCAATACCTACTTGTCCCATGAAGTACCTCTGCTTCTTGTGGGTCCCACTGGAACTGGAAAATCGGCCATTACCAACAGCTACCTAGTTAAATTGCCCAAAGAAATGTAAGTATATTATCTGGTTATATGTGTATACACATGCACTGTTTTTTTTTGTGTGTGTGTGTGTTTTATATGCAATAACACCTGCTGTAAAATGATAGTTTTGCAAATAATTGCTATTAAATGCTTTTCTTATTGGTTGCTTTATAATATGGAACTTAGTTCAACACATATCTATCTATGAATGAATGTTTAGTTTTGTGCAGCAATTTAGGAAATCAGAACTAAGTTCAAATTCTGGTTGTAAGAGAAAAAGAATAAATACAATTGCCATTGTATTCTGTCTCTTCACCAGTCAGACAAAACAAGTCATCTGCACATTCACTTGTTTTGCCACAATGATAGAAAGGCAATAGGTGAATTAGCTACTCCTCTGAAAATTAATTGTGCAGGTAACAGTGACAAAGATGTGTTGGTGGTGTAACAGCTATTAATAGGGAAAATGGAATCAGCAGGCTGAGTTCAATGCCAATTGAAGCTGTTACATTTACTTTTCACTAATACCCTGGGGGAAGCATTAATCCATCTCCTCTTCTCTCAACTGTGAGGAAAATAGTAAGGTAAACTGGGCTTTTTAGCCATGGCAGCACAACCAGTTTAGGAGGAGGACAACTCTGAATTCAGAACCACAACCTTTGCCAGCATTGAACAATCATGACAATTCAAAATTTACTGATATCTATATATATATCTATATATATAAATTAAAATATGTTAAATGGCCAGAAAATTACTGTATAAAAAAAATGGACATATAAAAAGTGCTCAATATAGCAGCTTAGAAAAACAGACATGCAATAAAGCGGTAAAACACCTTATACCACCTCACAGTACTGTGGTTTAGACCACTAGGTCTCATCAGGTGGTTGCATAAAAAGTGTTCCTCAAACTACAGCTTACTACTATTATCATGAGAAACACTTGTTACCCAGCCACCTGATGAGACCTAGTGGTTGAAACAACAGTAGTGTGCAGTATTTTACCTCTTTTTATTGTATTATATAAGAATTCTGTGACTTCTGTTAGTCTGTCCTTCACATCCTCTAAAATAGCCATACATTGATTGATCAAAACCAAATTTTAGGGAGAAGTGCAAACAGATAAGGATGTACAAAGTACTGTTGGTTTTACTAGGTTTCATAAAAACCACGAACTAGGGTATTTTTCCAAACAAATCAGCTTATTCAAATTTCATCAGTTGGTTTGTGAAATTGAACGAAATGTAGAATTTGTAAATTTAAACAAAAAATGTTAGCAATAACTTCAAAATACTAAATACTGTGATGATTTCAATATGCCTCAACATGTTTCCCAAAAATTATAGTTAAAGAAAAAGGAAATTGCTGAGAAATACATTCTGAAAGAACATTTTTTAAAAATGATAGTAATATTTTCTAAATTTATTGTTATTCATGATATGTATATTATACTGCATGTTTAAATGTGTTCAAAACTTGATATGGCAGTTCAATTCCAAAATTATATAAATTGCAAGTGTAACAATATTTAACATGGTGTACAGACGAAAAGGGTTAAAACAAAACGATTTTAAATTTTTGTCAGAAAGAGAATTATTTTCCTAGGATATGGAAATAGATGTATGAATTTTGTTGAAAAAATTAAACGATGCAGTTCATCAAACAGGTGCAGGATCAGAGGCCAGAGGTTAAGGTCAGCTGTTAAGAGATGTCTGACTTGACTATCTGTTGAGAAAAATTGTCGGCCAAAAATCTCCAGAAAAATTATAATTGTAAACAGAATAAAGGCAGGAGATGATGTCAGAAAGACTGACATGATATAGTGGCTCCTCTCAAAAGATTGAAAAATTGGAAATGTGAAATAGAAAATGAAAGAAAATGACTGGTTGAATTTTGGGAGATTTACATAAAACCCACCTATTCACCCGCACCACACCAATTGAAAGAGACACTCATAAATACAAGTGCCTACGTGGGCCAAAGTTAGTTGGGGTCTGTGAGTTGGATTTGGGGTTAGTTGCCGTGGGAGTTGCAGTCGGAGGCGGTTGAAGAAGTTAAGAGATTTCTGATATAACACTGCTTGCCAACCTGATGAAGATAATAATAATAATTATCTGCTGATGAAGAAAAACTCCGATGAATAACCTTGTGCCATCTGTGAAAGTACAAACAATAGTACTTGAAGTTAAAACCAGTTGTCGCTGAGGAAAGACTCCGATGAAATCCTTGTGCCGCCCGTGAAAGTACAAACGAGTACTTGAAGTTAAATCCAGTTGTCACTGAAGAAAAACTCTGATGAATAACATTGTGCCATCCATGAAAGTACAAACAATAGTACTTGGAGTTAAAATCAGTTGTTGATGAAGAAAAACTCTGACGATTAACCTTGTGCTGTCCGTGAAAGTACAAACAATAGTACTTGAAGTTAAAACCAGTAATTTTTGTTCCGTTGCCAATTATTAGAACAGGTTGGGAAAAGAAGAGAAAGAACAAAGAAAGATTTGTAAATATTTTTTTTTATTCTGATATAAACATCATATCGTGACTTATTCGGGCGTCGTCCATTTTATTTTTCAATTTTGTATGCACATGTTCAACACCTTGGTTTAGCGTGGTTAAGATACCCCAGTGAAAATTTGGCTTGACCCTCTTAAGATCAAAATCACAATGTGGGTAAGAGAGGTCACAGTTGAAGAGGTCAACTTTGAGACCAGCTGCTGTGTCAAACGCCATCAATGACTGACAAGTGGGATGATGGCTTGTTCTCTGATACCGGGATCAATCCTGACCAAGCAAGCAGACCGGGATTGACCCTGAGTATCGCCATACCTGGTGACTGAAGCAGACCGGACCCAGAACACCATCTTATAATAAGTCACTGTGGGCAGACTGCAGTCCTGAATATGTCATAATTGGTGCTGTGACCAGGCCGTGGCCCTGAATCTGTCATACAAGTCCAAAACCCAAAGATCCAGGGGTAGAAAGAAAAGTCAAAATCACAAATTGCAGATCCAGTGTCAAAAATCTCAATACACATAAATGGTCAGAAATCTGACACATATGGCAACAGTCACTTGCAAGCTGACTGACATAGATAGAAAAATAAACTACCCACAATTTTTTAACATCAACCACTTTTATGGATGGGACAATTTTTTCATTAGTCAACGATTGGAGAGGACAAACAATATTATCATATCTTAGATGCATTTATGGCAACAGCTTCGACTGATTTGTTTCTATTTTGGTCAGCATATCATACACAACACACACGCCCTTTTCTTGGTAAGTGACTTTCTCTTTCACTGCACTCCCCACTGATCTCATGATCACACTGGTAACAACCAGGGGTGGGTCTCTTAAGCTTTGGAACAATGAACAACTGCCATCTTCTCACCTGATGAATGACATCAGAGAGACATCAAATGTATTTCTTCTAGGCTGAGCATTGTTTTCTTCTGAGAACATACTAGAAGCATCTCTTATTTTTACCAGTCCTTCATTGTTAGAGGACTCACTTGTTGATGTGTTTGAACCAACAAAGGGGCACAGGTCCCTCACATTGCATGGCATACCCTCAACAAAAATCGCGCTTCTAATCCCTGTGATATGTCCCACTTGATACTGAATTGGACATCAGGTTTGAGGGGGTTTTACCCATACATGGTACCCCAACCCATGTGTCAATCATCCACATTCTTGCTTTGGTGGAGGTGTTTTATCAATATCTTGTACCCAGACTTTATAACAGTAAATCCCATTGGCAGGTGCAGTGGAAGTGCATCTTTGGGTGTAAAATATTGTGTGCCAATATACACACACACCTTCCATCACTGTTGTTTCCTTGCAGCAAATTCGTTTTGAACTTAAGTGGCAATATTCAACTATCCCCCATTACCAGAGGGGATATGAATTCCTCACCCATCTAAAAACTTCTTGAATGGTTTACTACGGAAAGCAGTGTCATTGTCAGTGAGAAGATCAATAGGAAGCCCCCATTCAAAAAAATAGGGCCTTGATGACACTGGCTGAATTTTGTTGATGTAGTTGTCACCAGATTGTGAAGTGAGTGGGTTCTCAGTCAGTCACCATCAGGTAATGTTTACTATCATGATGAGTGATAGCCATCCCAACCCAGGTTCACACATCACTAACATCCCTTGGTCATCGTATAGGTGATGGGTCAATGGACTAACACTCTCTACATTCTCTGACTAACCTGACCTTAACCACTGCCTTGGGCACTGCTGGATCAATCCCCCTTGTGAAGTAAAGGGTCCTTTTAATGTCAGGATGCCCACTTTGACAGTGTACTAACATTATCTTGTCTGAACTGAATTTGCTCACTGATGCTACACAAAAGTTTTACTGGTTTTGTCTCCTTTCTCATTGTGTCGATACATTTTCATGGTACCCTCATCAGCTTATCTGTTCAATTCTGGTTGGATTTCACCAGCTTTATGTTCACTGATAAGTCATATTCACTGATTACTTTTTCCAAGGTGCTTGAGACCTTTGTGTGTATTCTGGCCTTTCTGGTGAGAGTGTCAGATATCCATTCATGAACACATGCAGAGTCTGTGAATAAGTGCAACTTTCTGTGCCTTCCATTGAAGTGCTGCATTAACACTCCTGAGTACGGCATCCAACTCAGTTATGTTTATATACTGAATGTCCTTAGGTTGCAACCAGCATGCATCCTCCACTACATTCCCATTTATCCCAAGGGGCACTCCAGTTGCAAGGGAGCTCACATAGATCCATACTTCAAACTCATGTCCATTGAGCCACCACTTGCCTCAAACTGGGTTGTCCTAATGTACTCTGGTAATGATGTCCATAATCATGTTTTTGAGTAGGGGTGTCTGTTACTTCATCATCTCAGCTGGATGTGGCCTCAGTTGTTCTGTGTTTGATGAAGGCAGTCACAATACAGAGCCAGCCACAAATAGGAAAGTGTCGTAGCAATTTCCTGCATTGTGAAAATATTTTTCACCGAGTCAAAACTTTGGGTCCTTTTGGTGCTTCACTCCCATGCTTCCAGTACAAGATGTTCTACTCCTCACAAACTTGCAAGTTGAGCACTCGGGTATTGTCCTCCAATCGTTCTGGGTCTTTGCACATCAATTCAAAATCAGCGAGATGTAGTCTTAAGCATGTTGCAGATGTTGTATCTTCATTGACATAGATCTCATTATTATAGGGTGAAGTAGCCTGGATAATGGACTCCTCTTTTGCCAGCATGGTATCCACAGTGGCTTTCATGATAATAGTGTCACATTGAACCCAAATCCCTTTCTTGTCATGCAGTATCTCCACCCCTTATAATCATTGCACATGTATTTGTATGTATGCCTTGCGAAGATCAAGCATGGCAACACTGCATCCTTTTCTCTGCAATTCTCTCAATTTTCCAGCACAAATATCTGCATGAGCTGTGTATGCATCAACATGCTTGTTTAACTTGTGGTAATCTAACACTGGGTGGACTTTTCCTTTATTCTTTTGAACCACTGCCATTAACTGGATCAGGCCCCTTTAGGGAATCAGTTCTTTTTCGGGATAAGGTATCAGCCACCCATTCTTTATTCATGTCTGTAGTTCACTGATATTCACTCCTTGCCTGCTTAGATGCAGGATACTCAAGATACCCAGTTTTTTTTTAGATATTCTGGTGAGTGTCCATCTGCCTACTTCCATGATGCTGTCCAGGTCCTGGTATATTGGTCAAATTCTGCAGTAAAGTCAGACTGATTTACAGTCATGACTGCACAAATATGGGTATTAACAAATTTTTGTAATGAGAACACTGCCCAATCTCTCAATGACATCTGTCGAAGCCTAACAATTTGTTCTCCATGACCAGAATGTCTATATTGATAGGGTCATAATTGTCTATATGGACTTTTACTCCACGACTTCTGAGGAACTTTCTGTCAGCTGTCAGCATTTCCATCTCTTGTTTTTTTTCTATAGACAACAATTGGATATGTTCATAAGTGAATGTGAATGAACTGTATCCATGAGGAGGGTACGTTTCACTCTATCAATGAGTACCTTGATTATAGGGAGTGTCTCTTTCATGACTTGTGGGGAAGAGAGACTGGCACTGATGTGGTCAGGTAGGAGTGGTATCATAAGTGGTAGGGCTACATTTGCATCCTGAAGGGGGACGAGGCTGGCTTATTGAGAAATTGATATGGCAGCACAATTCCAAAATGAAATAAACTAATCACAACTCCAAAACTCAAAGATCAAGGGGAAGAAAGAAATGTCAAAATCAAAAATCGCAGGTCCAATGTCAAAAATGCCAATACACATAAATGTTCAAAAAACAAATGCACAATGCAACAGCCACTCGCAAACTAACAGATGTAGATGGAAAAATAAACTACCCCCAATTTGCAAATACTAACTGCTTTTATCAACGGAACAATTTTTTCATTGATTGACAGTTGGAGAGGACAAATAATATTAGCATATCCGAGATGCATTTATGGCAACAGCTGCCACTGACTTGTTCCTATTTTGGTTATTTTGTCTTTGGCACATTGTACAGAACACACATGCCCTTTTGACTTTCTTTTTTGTCACAATATCATTTTACTCTCTCTCTGTCTCTCTCTCTAAGTACAGGATTGGTGTATATGGAATAAATTCCAATAACCATAAAATACTATTCTTAAAAGAGTGCTCAATCGTGACCACCGATTTGTAATATGAGTTCTGTTCAAATATTTCAGTTAAATTATATATAAAATAATATGTCCACGTGTTGACTGTAATGCTCTCCTTTGTGTGTGTGTGTGTATATATATATATATATATATATATATATATATATATACACACACACACAATTCTTTCTTTATAAAAATTATTATATACTTATCTAATAATGACATATATTGTAAATGAATTCTTATGACAGTCTTAAAACTGACAATTCTTGCTTCTTTTATACATCATTTTGCTTTTTTCTAGCTATATTCCAAATTGTGTGAATTTCTCTGCTCGTACTACAGCTTTCCAAACTCAGGAAATCATTATGGCCAAACTAGACAGGTGAGGAAGTTGTTCTCAAAATTTCAATTGCAACATATATTTCAAAACTTAGACTAGATTATTTAAATTATTACAAATAAAAGTTTAATGCCATTTACAGAATTTAATGCATGTCTTTTCATTAATATCTTTTTTTTTTTGATAGGCAACATGAGTTTGTAAATTTCATGAACTAGATGAATCAGGAAAACATTTTAAAATTTATTCTGCAAAGAACTATAATATACTTGACATATGGTGGCATTTAAAAACAGTTTCTTTTTCCTCTTTTTCTTCCAGTTTTACATGTGAAGTTGAAGTAGTTAGTAAGCTAATGTTTATCCACATGTCATAGGCAATCATTACTTAACCTAACTGTAAGATTAAATATAAATGGTGTGTGTGTGTTTTATACTCTGTTTTTTCTTTTTAGAACTGTTGATAAATTTTAAGATTTACATTTTAGCAAATACCAACCATACAAACTTCAATTCTTTGTGGTAAAAATGCACTTTTCAAAATGTATATTAGCAGCATTGAATTAAATGTTCAAAAATGGTCTTAATCTTGTGTGGAATTTTTTTAATGCTTATTTTCTTTCATTTTTCACTACATATATTTTATTGTCTAAAACAATATAAAACTTTTGATAATTTATGTTTGGGTTTCTGCAATGAGGAGTTACCATTATTTTACATTTGTAAAGAAGCCAAGTGGATTAAAATGTTGGTCTGTAAATTTGTGGCATAATAATTATTAGTTTGATCTTCAAGCTTTAGTTTAGACTCAAACTAAATGAAAACAGAATGGGCAACAATTATGCAGTACTAAAAAAAAGAAAAAAAAAGAGTGACATGAGATATCCCTGTAGACATGGACAGTAGAAGAACATTCTATCCCCAAGGATTAAATAAAAGATTCATTTTGAAAGGTAACCAAGATCTACAGATATCTGAAGAAGGTGAAATGGTACAGTCGCCAAGACATGATAATAACAGCAAAAATGAGGACATTAGTTATATTTTATTATAAAGAAATTTTCTTATTTTTTAGATACTGAAATCATTTTGAATTGATGTCTATAGTATATACAAATTTGAGTTTTATTAAATCTAATACTTTGTTTATTATTATTAATATTCTGGTTTATGTTTTATTATTTTCAGCTATAGTCTTCATTTTCTTGAAGGGAGAAATTCTCACCACATTTTCTTCAAAATCAAACAAAATGACAATAATCTTATTACATATCTTACGCAAATGAAACTTAACATTTTTAAGCATTTTTTTTATTTTACTCATTTTCTAATTTTTAAGATTATTGGGTGTAAACTAATTTGTAAAAGAGAATTCAAAGAAAACAATATTTTTCTATAAAATGAATTCTTTAGTGTTTATGAACAACTTGGTGTATTGTTAATATTATTGTTTACTTTTCATAAATGTAAAAACCTATTATTAAAACAGGTTTATATCTTAATACAAATGATTCATAAGCCCCAAGTATAATCAATACATTCATTTGAATTCTCCATAAATTAAATTTTAGGAAATTTACTTATTTTGTGTTAATAATTTATTTATTGTCAAGCTGGGTTGATTCTTCTCATTTATAAAAGGAAAGGATTTGATATTCGAAAAATTCATCTTAGAAATTAGAAATATTATTAATCTTTCAGTTTTAACACTTCAGAAAAACAATGCAATATTAGCACAGTTAGGATTCAAATTAATAACTATGAAAAAAAAAAGAAAAGAAATTGCTATAATCTGCAAAAAACTAAGAGAATTTTGTGCATATTATTATCACTCAAGCTGCTGAAAACAATCTGATAAATATAAGTTTTAAAGTTAAGCTTTGTTATTAAATTCAGTTTTGATGATTATTTACTTTTGTTAAGAAAGTATAATAGAACACTTTTAGAAAGTATTTCTTGAATTGTGTTCAACATGAAACTTTAAATTTACTTGAACAACATTTAAAATTCATAGGCAAAACAATTTATTCAATCAAATTTTTCCTCCTAAATTGTATAAATTTAACCTATCTTAGCAGAAAGTTGTTTGCTTCTTTCCTTAAAAAATTCTTCATTGAAAGAATTGATAAGTGAAGGCTTCAATTTTATCCTGAGAAGTTTTAGCTTATAAGGAAATTATTGAGGAGAAATAAAGTCTGTTTTCAGAATGATTCAACCTTTTATTTTGGTAACATAAGAGCAGGCATTATCATGCATTAAAATGATACTCTTTTTATTTGCCAAATTGGACACTGAGTTTTGAATGCACTGATTGACATTTGTTGACTATTAAACTTTGCTCCTTCATTTGACTACAAAACTTACTTTATAGCATTAATATTTATTTCAAAGTAAAATATAATACATTTTAATATTTAATTCATAGTTTATGACAAATATTACCTGACATGATATTTTTTCAATTATCAAATTAGTATTTGGGTATTTTCATGGGGCTGCTGAAAAGTTCTCAGCCTGACCGTAAGGCATTCTTCCCAAAATTCTGATTTAATAGCAGTTAACAAAAATCCTGTATGGCTTGTGCAATGGATCTTGGTATGGAGAGTAGTATCATCAAACAGGCTTCAAATTCCAGGCTAGTCTGTTGCATTTACTTTCATACGTTTATATGAAAGTAAATGCAACAGACTAGTTTTGAGAAAAGCATAAATGTATCTCTTTCCCTCCCCCACCAGCTATGGGTTAAATAGCAGAACAAACCAAGTTCTCTCGACTTGGATGTTAACCAGAAGGAAAACTGAATGGAAAACCAGCCTGAAGAGGGTGGGAGGGAGTTATTGGCTCTGTCAGGATATCTTTCTCTAAACACATTAACTGTTGTTATGGCTGCAGGTGGCACACCTACAATCTTAATGATCATTTAAAATCTAAATTAGAAGCTTTATCACACACCTTTTTTGTTGTCAAAGGTTGAATTAATGCCCCTGAGATGAGATTTAAGCAACTAGAAAGCTATATTTATGAGTGTCTCTTTGAAATCAGCTTATCAGAGAACCAAGTTAGACTGTAGGAATCCTTCCACTTGGTTTTTCATGGAATGTCAAAATTCAGAGTGTCAGGATTCGATACAATAACATAAAACATTGTTGCAGGACTGCTTGTAATTCAGCCATTTAGAATAATCATATGATTTTCATTGAAAGAACAAAATCCAGTAGAAAAAGACAACATAGTTTCAAAAAATAAACATTAATATAAGGACAAGAATAGAAGCAGTTGGTCATAGATTAGAAAGTAATGTCTTTTTGTTTTGGTTAATAAACTTCTGGAATAGGATATAAATTGTATTTGTGTACGTATTTGAGAAACAATGAAATGTTGTTATATGTGTGTTTGTGAAAGAGTCAGTACATGTGTGTGTGTAGTTCATAGTAAAAGGATACAAATAATAGTTAGAATTTGGTTCTTACTGTGAACTGGGGTGCTGTAGTATGAAGCAATCTCTCTGAAGTTTGTCTGTTGCTTTTTGCATGTGGACATGAATGAGGTCATGAAAATCATCAGTGAGAGTGACGTGGACCTTGATGACATCTGTGAGTATGCCATTTGGGGCTGGATTGCATGTGTTTTATACACTTTTTCGTAAGAACATTGGCTCCAGAATTAAATTATTTATTTCTTCTTAATTGGCCCTAAAAAGCCATGTGGTATGTTGTCTACTATGTCCGCACGATATTTTGGTGGTATCTACCTAAATCATGATGACTAATAAAACAACCTGATTTGTATTCATGGTTTTATTGGTGTGGTTTAAGATGAAAGTATTAATTGAGTATGATTGGTTTGTAAATATTGTATTTGATATTTTAGTGGACACGACAAGACAACTGGTTGGTTAAAGATTATAGGTTTATCTCAAATCTTAGTAGTGCATTTGGAATTGGTCAGACCTTATGATATTTGGACACAAACACACACACACACACACATTTTTAAATGAGTGTATAAAACTGTTTTCCTGAAATATTTATTGATAGTTATTCTTTATTATGTTTTCGCTCCTTAATAATGTTTCTCTTTCTTCTTATTCTTTCCCATTCAGTAACCTCCTTGTGTCTTAGTGGCTTTACTGCCTTGCTTGGGGTGAAATTATTTTTTTTTAAAAATTAGAAAAATATGATCAGTAGATGGTGCTTTATTTTCCTTTAATTTTAAGGAATATTGGTTTTGGTTTTTAATTTTAACTCTTCAAATAATTTCAGATTGATAAAATTGTATTGATAGCAAATTAAATATAGAGAAAAGAAAATTTTCTCCTTATGGTCATCTTGCAGGAGAAGGTTCAACTTTACTTTTTCTGCTTTAAATAGCATTGTTCAGTATACCTGTCTGTTGTTTTATCATCTCAACATGTACCCTCTTTTTCCAGTGAATATGCTAAGGTGTCGTACCAAAAGAAGTGAGTATCTGGCCAAGTTAGTTCTAGTTAGTTTGTGCCAAATAAGGTTTTTAAAGCTTCAACAAGTGGATGTATTTTTATTTCACAATTGTCCATTTTTTTTCCCAGCTGATTAGCTCTCCTCTATTTCACATGTTTTTAAATCACAATTTGAAAGACACTCACTCGAACAGCTGATTGTATTTTCAGGTGACTGTCATGATGAAACAGCAGATTCTTCTCTTACCACTGAGCACTTTCTAAGTTCACTCAACAAGCACTTTTTTCTGTATATTATTAATTATAGCACTTGGTTATGCATTACATACATTGCCAGCTGACAACACAAGGCTGACGTCTTCTGACCTGGGACTATTGCTTTCAATATAATTTTCTTTGAAGTTCTTTAAAATCAGGAAAAACACCAGGAAAACAATTATAATAGTGTTATGTATTGTAGTAATATAAAAAATATTTCCATTATATGTAATTGCACAATATAGAAATGATATGCTATTGTCATGTATAAAAATCTTGAAGATGGTTTAAATTATACAAATTTGTTTCTTTATGCTGCAATGACTTAATTTTTTTTCATTTATATTGTTGATTAACTCAATTTAGAAGTAAAAGAGTTACCTTACTTGATTTTAAATTTAACTCAAAGACATAAGAAATAGTTGTACTCATTTTTTCAATGTCATAATTTCACAAATAGGCATTTTTTTCATTAAATATTGATATATTTCTTTTTGTAGATCATGTCAAATTATATATTATTCATCTAAATACATGGTATGCCTTCTCACAGAGATAATAAAAGATCTTAGAACCCAGAAGAGAGTTTCTGATCTATATTATAGACAATAGTGTATCATTCAGTGGATCCAGGATGTCAAGCAGTTGACAGGAATTTTTTATTTTAAGGAAAATTTAGGGTTACCTTGTATTATTTAGTATTTTTTTTATTTGAAAAATTCCTTTATCTAGATATTTAAAAAGTTGTTTTTTTAAATTCTGCTTTGCCTCAGCAGAAGTGTTTGGATCCACTGCCTCTCCTTTTAAAATTTCTTTCAGGAGAATTGGCAATGATTTAAGTTTGCCTAAAGTTTTGAATTTCCACAATGAGATGTCCATAAACAAATGTAAAACTGAAAAAAGCTTAATATATATTTTATAGAAAAAAACATATCTTGGTTCAACTTTTTATCAAAATGGTTTTTAGAAAAATAGTGAAACAACTATTTTCTGTTCTCTTCTCTTCTGTACACTATTTAACTAAATTGGTCCCATTATATGATAGATTAAAATAAAGTAGTTTAATAACTGTATTATGCTTTTTTTCTTTTTGGTTTATGCTAAATGATTATATATATATATATATATATAATGATTCAGTATATCTACTGATTTTTTCTGGATTTATCTGTTTTGTTCAATTCCTGCATACCTTACTATAATGATTATTAGTTGATCATAGATGTATCATAAATAGGCTTTTTATCAATGAAATAATTTTTCAAAAGTTACTTTACAAAACAATTCTGAAATCAATTTGATTTTTCATATTTCTCACTAATGATGAATTGTTTCATATGTAAATCACATAATACTTTAAGGTAATCATACTCAAATTACTAGTAGTAAATTCATTTTTATTCTAATAACAACTGCTCAAGTATTTTTTTCATTTGTTTTTTTAAATATTTGGAAAAGTTCTCTTCAACATAACATATCTTTAAGGTGCATCATTATTTGTAACAATACATTGAGGGCCTGCAAAACTGTCATTGTTATGAAGAAAAAATAAAAGAATATTATTATTGATTATTCCTCGTTATAGATGGTATCAACCTTGTGGTAAATGTCAGTGAAGATTTCACTTGAACACAGGTTTTCTTTTGGATACCAAACAAAAACCATGAAAGAATCATTATGATGAAATAAAAATGTTTAAAAATCACATTTGTATGGAATTGCTCACTGTTACATTTGGTTAGTTAAAATTCTCACTCATTTCTTTCACATGACTCTTTTTCTATTAGTCACTTTGCACTTGATATGTTTGGCAAAACGTCATCTTTTTTTTAGCTTCTACTTGTCTGTATCATATGTTGTTTAGTAAAAATCTTTTTTTGCTTGAAGTGTTCAAAAGCCTGTTTATTTATAATTACAAGTGTTTGATTGTTTAATGTTTGATAACAGCCTTGATTATCTCTCTTGGATTATAAATATACATATGCAAAGCTTTCAAAAGCATTCATATCTTTCTCTCTCTCTTAAATGTTAAAAGGATGAATCTCATTTGAATAGTAAAAACTAATGTTGAAAATTACATGAATGAAACTAATTCAACTACTGTCCTTTATCTACTTTTTAAGGTACTTTGGTGTAATGAGATTGTTTTTCTCAATGATTTTATGGTATTCTATTTTTCTTTCATGGTTTTCTAATGTTTTATGTGTTTTAAATAATTTGTACATTACAATCTGAGGCATGTTATAAATATCTCTGTGTTTTGGTAAACTTATATTAAAAAAAAACAAATACAAAACTCATGATGCAAAAACATAAAATAAAACCCTTTCTATCTGCAAATGTATAAAGAAATGATGACTAAATATTGATGATTTAATTTTATTGAAATATGATGCAAGACTATTGCATAAATTCTCTTTATCAAGTTTTTTTAATCAATCTCTCAGAATTAGCATTTTATTGTATTCTCAAATAGTCTCTCATCTAAATAATGACTTATCTCTGATTAACCTGATTTGGTGTGAATTGGTTATAAAATCATAACATAAAATCATAGGGTATTTTATATATATATATATATATATATATATATATATATATATATAATTATTTATAAATTAATGAAGAAATATTTGTTTACATCCTTAAAATATTTAATCACATTTTTTTTTTCCATTTTGTAGTTTAGAAATATAAGTACATTTTATGTCATTTAACAAAACCCTTTGACTACTTTTCAGAGTAAAAGAAAAAGTTTTCAACCTGAAGAATTTGATATTAATTTTGTGACCTATCTATTTCTATCACATTTTATTTATGACATTTCAATTTTGATTATTTTCAGTATTTCTCCAGTTGTACCCACAAATTTCTCTCTCTCTCTCTCTGATGCTATCATTACTTAGTGATTTTATTTAAATTTTTAAAAATTATAAAGATTTGGAATACCTACCATTGAGTAGCTGTTAAGCTCATCTTGAAAAGCAATTTGATTCTCACTGGGTACACAAATATAATAGCCTATAATGACCACCCTAAGCTACATAAATATCCCTAAAAATAGGTAAAGTAAAAAATGCATTGCTGAAATGTTCTGTCAATTACTTGACTATTTTTTTCTTTATCTTTCTTTTTTAGGAGAAGAAAAAGTGTGTATGGTCCTCCAGTAGGCAAAAAGTTGGTGGTATTTGTAGATGATTTAAATATGCCTGCCAAAGAGAAATATGGAGCCCAACCACCCATAGAATTGTTAAGACAATGGCTGGACCATGGTCATTGGTATGACAAGCGAGACACCTCAAAATTAATTCTGCAAGATGTGGTACAGCTGATTTTGTTGTTTCATTTTGTTTTCTTTTTGTCAGGGACTGTTTACCCTTGAATGGAGGGAGAAAGTTCTTTTGACCGGAAGGAACTATAAAAGATGTTTTTCAGGAATAAAATGCAATGTTAGCTGTAGATTCTTTACACTATCAAATTAACACAACATAATGGAACAAATTAAGCAATAAAAATTAGTAAACTTCGGAGATATTTTTTGTTTTTTATAGTGTACATTCAGTTCATGGTGTACTTAATTGTAGAGTAAATTAGCCAAAAGTCATTTAATCAAAAATTTTCAAGGGTTAGATGTGGTTAAAACTGTGTGGCATAAACTTGAGGCGTTCATTGTTAAAATAATTTTGTTTCTCAGTTAAAGATAAATGGATTGTAATTTGAAGCAATTTGATATGAAATATTTTTCTTTTTTTTAAAACTTAGCAGATCTACTACTAAGAAAATGATTATAGAGGAATATTTAAAAGTTGGATTGAAATTTCTAGATTAAAAAAAAATGAAACTAATAAGATGCTCCAATCCGTGTAAACTAATAAGAGTTAAAATGAAAATAGTCAATATTTTTACTTTAGTAAACACATTAATAAAAGAAAATTATTATTGTAGAAGAATTAATACATTCTTAAGAAATCATTCATTATTTCTATGATCTCCATTTTCATAAGTATTTAATGTTAAAAATTGTAAAAATAGAAGTTATGAGGTGGATCAATAAGTTATTATTGACCAGTTATTAGCGAAATTTTGATTCTTTCACTGTATAATGTTTTATCTAGGATTAATATTCACCACTGAATTAAGAAAGAAGCAGATTCTATTGAAAAAAATTAATATTTATTATGTTAAATAAACACTTTTTTTTATCATTAAACTACAGAGTAATTGATTTTAACTATATATGTTTTCTGTTCTTTTTATTGTTTAATTGTTGCCAGTTGTTTATCTGAAATATTAAACTTTAAATTGTCTAAAGTTTTTGTGATTTGAACACTGGTTATATCAGTTTATTAACACAAATATGTATCCTTTTTTTCTAGTTTTATCTCAGTTTTAGCAAAAGAATTGAAATGCTCACAACTCAGAAAATGTTATTTAAATGCAGTTTAATTACCTAGAGTGGTTCTTAGGCCTTGTATAAGGTGAACATTATTAAAAAAAAAATAAAATAAAAGTTGTATTGTGACTCAGAAAATATATAAAGTGTTAAGTTTCTCCAACTTAAGCTTTAGAAAGAAATGAAGACAAAGATGTGTACATAATCTCAATGTTCCTTAATTTCAGTGGTTATGCAAGAATTTGTGTCTCCAATTTGGTGAAGTTGTTCTTTTTTGCTGAAAGTCATAAAGCAATTACAGTTAGCCAATATATTATAATAAGGATTTTAGAAAGAATTAAATGTTGTATTTGTTATTGAATTTTATAAAATCAGTAATGTTATTAATTTTGATTTTTCAATCTTACAGCTTTTTGTATCAGCTATGGGCCCACCTGGAGGAGGTAGAAATACCATTAGCACGAGGTTCACTCGTCACTTGAATATTATAACAATTAATGAGTTTGATGATAGCACATTGTCCAGAATATTTGGAATGATATCAGATTGGCATTTCAGCCGTGGATTTGAAAATGTTTTCCCAAGGATGGGAAAGGTAAGGCTTATTTTATGAAAAGAAGTGAAGAATTTTAAGAATCTTTAATTAAAATGAATGAATAAATTCTTTGTATGGTAGATTACTTTGCAGAAAAGTTTAGTTTAAATTGATTACTTTGCAGAAAAGTTTAGTTTAAATTGATTACTTCCAGATAAAGATATGTTTATTAAATATTTTCCTATTATTTAAAAAACGTTATTGTAATAGGAAATAACTTAATCTTTGCGTTTATTCAATTAAGAATACTACTATTCATCTGACTTGACAGCGGAAGTATACAGCTTTTATAGCTTGGATTATCTAAGAGGAGATAATCCATATTCACAACATTCTCCCCACCAAATTTCTCACTGATAGGGAAGAAAGTCCCTTAAATGTCCAGGCTCCCTACGAGTTCGCAGTGGCCGCCTCGGCAGTCCATGATTCGTGGTCGGAGTATTCGAACAGGGAGGCTCTTCAGGGAGAGCCTCTGTGGGCTCTAAAATACCTTGCTCCGAAATGTTTCCTTCTCAGAGGAGCAGGCCGTTCCACGTCAGAGTCAGTCTCTGGATGAACACGTTTATTCGGTGCTAGCCCTTCATCTGTCAGGGTTTCAGGTGTTGGCCCATCCAAAGTGTTTGACGGGGCCTCAACGGAGACAGTGTCGTCAGACGGCGTGTCAGGAACAATTTCAGTGCCATGATCTTCCGGAGGGGCTTCAGTGTCAGGGGTAGTTGGTCTGTCCTCAGGGGCTATCCACGGTCCGGGTACGTCTCCGGTCGGTGCTAGGTCCCTGAGAGACACATTAGACTCTCTACCATCTGCATGTCGTACTAGCGCGTACTGAGGGTTCGCCTCTATAAGCTCTACCTCGTCCACCAAGGGATCGTTCTTGGTGTAACGTGCATGTCGTCTCAGAAACACAGTACCGGGTCGAGAGAGCCAAGATGGAAGCGAAGCTCCCACCAAACTCCGTCGCTGAAAATGTAGAAACCTTTTGTGTGGGGTGGCATTCGTGGCGGTACACAATAGGGAACGAATGGCGTATAATGCGACAGGAAGGAGATTTTCCCAATTATCAATTGAACATCCGTTACTTGAGGCAGCCAATTGAACGGTCTTCCAAATAATGCCGTTATATCATTGGCCGTTACCCTTAGGGTTGTAGGGAGTTCTCCTCGTTCCTGTAGAAATTGCCGAAGCTGCTCTGACATGAAAGAAGCCCCTCGGTCCGAATGTATATAGGCAGGGGCTCCAAAGATGGTGAACAATGAGCAGAGGCATTGTATAATTGCAGCAGCCGACATGTCTGAACAAGGGAAGGCAAAAGGAAACCGTGAATATTCGTCGATAACCGTTAATATATATCTGTTCCTTGTTTTACTTGGTAGCGGTCCTTTAAAATCAAGATTGAGTCTTTCAAACGGTTGTGTTGCTTTTATTAAAACACCAGTTTGGGGTTTCTAAAACCGAGGCTTTATTTCAGCACACGTTCGACAAGAATTTGTAATTCTTTTTACCTCCTCCACTGAGAAAGGCAAGTTTCTACACCTCACAGCATGAACCATTCGAGTTATGCCCGGGTGACAGAGATTGTTATGTAGCGTTTGGAGTTCGTCCCCGCTTGATGCCGTACAGCATGCTCTTGACAGTGTATCAGCTGTTAAGTTCTCCTTGCCAGGTTGGTAGCTGACGTCAAAGGAGAAACAAGATAGCTCAATTCTCCACCTCGCTATTTTCTCATTCTTTATTTTACTCGTAGTTTTAGAGTTGAACATAAAAGCAACTGATTTCTGGTCAGTAATAAGTTTAAAGTGGCGTCCGATCAGGTAGTGTCGCCATTTTCTTAATGCCTCGACTATGGCGTAGGCTTCCTTTTCAATTGCGGGGTGTCGTCGTTCAGCCTGTGAGAGGGTCCTTGAAAAGAAGGCTACAGGACGATCAGCTTGTTTCAAAAAGAAGCAGCAATAGCACAGTCTGACGCATCCGTTTCAACAACCAGAGGAATATTTTGGTCTATTGTTGTAATTGCAGATTTCGCAATATCCTTTTTCAGTCCCTCGAATGCCTCAACGGCTTGATGGGACAGAGGAAACGTCTCTACTTGTGTCAATGGATGTATCTTTTCTGAGAACGAAGCAATCCATTGAGAGTAATGAGCAAACATGCCCATAGCACGTCGAAGGAAGGCTGGTTGTGAGGGACAGGCATCTGGAGTAAAGGTTTCAATCGATCTGTGTCCGGTGCCATAAAACCTTTGCTTATGGTATACCCCAGTAGGTTTATTTTGTCCAGTCCAAACGAGCATTTGTCGTCGTTTAGGGTAAGGTTGTATTTATCGACGGCGGACATGAACCGTCTGAGATTTTCGTCGTGTTCCTTTCTATTATGGCCACATACTGTGACGTTGTCGATGTACGCAAATGTGCCTTCCAGTTTCTCATCCGTTATGATTTGGTCGACTATCCTTTGGAAGCTGGCTACCCCATTCGTAACGCCAAAAAGGAATCCTGCGAAATTGATATAGTCGACCGTTCGCCTCGAAAGCAGTGTATGGCTTGTCTCTAGGTCTAATGGCGATCTGATGGTACGCGCTTTTCAAGTCCAGAGTGCTAAACATACGATATTTGGCTATTTCGCCTATCATTTCATCTATCCTGGGTAGTGGGAAGGCGTCCAAAAGAGTAAATCTATTTATGGTTTGGGAGTAATCTATAACCATTCTCTTTTTATGGTTGCTAGAAGTGGTTATAACTACCTGAGCCCTCCAGGGTGATTTGCTAGGCTCAATTATACCCTCCTCAAGTAGTCTTTTTTATCTCAGAGTCAATGAATTTTTTATTATTATAAGAAAAACGTCTGCTTCTCACTGCTATGGGTTTGCAGTTTTCAGTTAGGTTTTCGAAAAGTGACGGGTACTGGATTTTTTTGCTGTCGCCAATCCACAAATTTTCAATGTGGGCATTGAACCGCCAAACGGAATTTCAACCTGTGAGTGTTGCTGCAAAAAATCGTGTCCCAGTATTATTTTTCGCAACAAAGGTTTTTCATTACGGATAATTTAGTGGTTTTATAGGAGACGTCATTAAATAGTAAGTCCACCAAACAATAACCACTTACTTGCGCAGACAATGACGCGTTTGCCATTGTTACTCTGCTGGGGGGAGGGACAAAATACAATTTGTTGGTTTTACCAAGCTTTCTTTGATAAAATTTCCTGAGCTCCCGGTATCGAGCAGGGCATTTGTAGACCTCCCGTTAATTTTCACTTTTACAATAGTTTTTGAAAGGCAGTGGGGGGAGGCGGCTAAAGTTGCAGAAGTATTTTGACGAGTGGATTTGTATAGAGTTTTAGAAGACTTGCATACCTTTGAAAAATGACCAAGTTTTCCACATTTATGACAACGAGTATCTCTGGCAGGGCATGAGACTCGTAGGTGTTTAGATAAGCCGCAAAAATAGCAAGTGTCCTTTTTAAAGCGGCAGTGACCGATTGTTCTTGAAGCTTCGTCGGACTATCGTCATGAGGGGGACAGTAAGAACAGGTGGGTTTAACGCGGCGCCCACGGTGTCTGGCTGTAAATAAGAACTAGACTGCTGTATAGCACTTTCGAAGATATAGGCTTGCTCGTAAGCTGTTCTAAGTGTAAGGGTCTTATTCTCAAGAAGACGTTGTCTTATCTGAGTATTGCGTAAGCCGTTAATGAAGGCGTCCAAAATGTGTAGCTCTTGGGCCTCTAATGCCGTCATTGGGCAGAAGTTGCAATCTTTGCTCAGTGTCCGAAGGCTCTTAAGGAAATGGTCCAATGTCTCGCCTGATTCTTGTCGCCAGTCGTTTTGAAAGTAGGTGTCTAGAAAATATCTCATTTTGGGGCTTTATGTATGTAGCGTTCAGTACATCGATTGCTTCTTCGTAGGTAACGCAATCCAAGATAATTTCGTTGACTGTGTGAGACAGGTAGTTGGTTAGGAGCGCACGCTTATTGATGGGACGTCCGGTCTTTCTGAATGTAGAACCTCGATGAAATTTGTAAATGTCTCCGCCAATGTTTCCAGCACTTGTCGGCTGAATCGCTTCCTGGATCTGTGGTAAGTCGCTCAGGTCGCATAAATTGTTCCATTCTTAATTGAATAAAATGTAATGAAAACAGGACAAGAGATTCTGTCTAGTAATCGTTTATTCAATTAAGAATACTACTACTCATCTGACTTGACAGCGGAAATATACAGCTTTTATAGCTTGGATTATCTAAGAGGAGATAATCCATATTTTGCAAACCCAGAGAAGAAGCGCTCATATGATGAAATACAAGACCTAAAGGAACTCACAAAAATAATGGAACAGTAAGTTCACCCAATGATTTTAAATTTTGTATTATTACCATTAAACTTTTGAATCTAATGATTTCTGTTATTTGAGTTTAAATAAATAAAACCCTCAATTCCTGAATATATCATGCATGGCAACTTACTATAACAGCAGTTACTGACTGAATATCCTAATGTTAACTTTAACATTGCAGGTCTCTATGCAAAGTTTATCTGATTGATAATTACACTATTTCAGTTTCTGATTGTATAGATTTGGTCTTCTACAAAGCTATCAAGTTTTGTAGCTTAACAGTTAAAGTTGTTGGGTATTTACCAGGCTTCTTCAAGACAAAAAAAAAAAAAAAATAGGAGTTCAAATCCCACCAAGAGCTTATCATAAAGTTGAGTAAAGTTGCAACAGAAATCATAGTTAAGATTAATTATCATGGTTATAAGAAAAATGTTCTTGAAATTCACAAAATTCTACATTTTACCTCAAAATCATGGAAAGATTCAAACAATGATAAAATATTAATATTATTGGCATTTAATATAATGATTTTTAAAAGAACTTTTCCTTGTCTTATTCCTGTGCATTTGATACTTAACATTTTCTTTTGAATCTTCATTCCGCAGTTACCTGGATGAATGTAATGCTAACAGCAAGAGTCCAATGTCTCTAGTGATGTTTAAATTTGCCATTGAACACATTTCTAGAGTTAGCCGTGTCCTATTGCAGGATAATGGACATGTGCTTCTTATTGGTAAATCTGAAAAAATTTTTGTGGTTTTTATGTAAAGCAATATTGCCAGTTTTTTAAATATGGAATTTTAGAAAGATTTACAGAGATAAAAGGAAATTTATAACAATTGATGAAGAAATTAGGTACATTATTATTGATTTGAATATTCATATTTTCATTGTGTGAAAACCTATATAAATGATGAACAAAAGCTTAAAGAAGAATCATTATCTGTGAACAGGTCTCTCTATAAATGTTATTTTTCTATAAAACAAGTATTTATGTTCTAGCTTAATGTAGTCATTTTAAAATTCATATGTCTTTACTTGAATTGTCACTATATAATTAAAATTCTGTTTTTACTTGAAGGAATTGGTGGCAGTGGGCGCCAAAGTGTTACCAAACTTGCTTGTCACATGGCAGAATATGACATGTTCCAGATTGAAATTACTCGCAATTATACAAAAGTTGAGTGGAAAGATGATCTGAAAAAGGTTTGTGAAATGTTTGTATGAACTTTCTCCATGTCATTCCTAACTGATCATTGTGCAGTTGATTTTTATTCTTAATTCTGTTAAAATGAAATTATTTATTTTGAAGAATTTTAATCAACAATCATTACAGGAAAAGCTGAAACTAAAATAAAGAAATGTTTTCATTAAAATTATTCAAGTTAATGCATTCACTCAGGATAATTTTTGTTTATATTTTATGATAGAAGAAATAATGTAAAGCCAGAAAGTTAGATATTCTTCTTCTCTGTACCGTATCACTTCATGACTTGGGTGATCATAACTCTCCACAATTTCTTGTCCTTTGTAGATTTTAGTAAATTTTGTTTTACTGTCACTCCTAATAAAAAAAAATATTGACTATCATATACAAAGACTGAATAATCAACAGTCTGTAGTAAATTAAATAAGTTTTCAGGTCAAATATGGAAATCTTGACTGCTAAGAAGAAATATAAACTATTATATTATAGTTATCTCTTGCAACCATTTGCCATGGCAAATCTCTCACGTGTTCCTGTATAAGGAGCAACAGTAAAAAGAAGATAGAAACAAAAAAGGATGATAAAAGCAAAATTCCACGAGTGAGAAGTGTGAGAGAAGAAACTGTTAGCATAGAACTTACAGTTACATCTAGCTATTTCAACTGTAAAATGATGAAACTGGCTGTCAATTTAGTACTATGCTTAAATTTGTAAAATCAAGGTACTAAAGAAAAAGCTCATCAGAACAATTGACATAAAAATGTTTATAGAAAAAGCACAGGGAGGCTATATTATGGCATTTTGAAAGTGACTGAAGCTAAGATGCCAGGTCAGGACTGATAACATTTCAAATTTTTCATGGGATTTTATATTGCATTGCCTATATTATCTTAATTCATAAAAAACTCAAACATCTATAAAGTATACTTTTGTATATATGTTGACAACCATCTCAAATACTATATATTAATATCTATTCCAGCTTCTGCGAAATGCAGGATGCAATGCAAAACCGCATGTGTTCCTGTTTTCAGACAACCAGATTAAAGATGAATCTTTTATGGAAGATATAAGCATGATATTAAATACAGGTGATGTTCCAAATCTATATGCAGCTGATGAAAAAGCAGAAATAATTGAGAAAATGCAAAATGTGGCAAGATATGAAGTAAGTAAATCTCTCTCTTACACTCAACCACACATTCTGACACTCCAATTAGTCAAGTTTTTATTTCACTTTGCTTTGTTGCCTGTGCATCAATACAATTTGACTTTGTTACTTTTAAATAAGTTTTATTTTATTACATTCATTTTTACAACACCATATCACATTTTATTATGCAACTTAATATTTTCATTGAGAAAATTTACCAACAAATGTTAGTAAACATTTCAGTATATTCTTATATTTAATGAATAATATATCCCGTGTGTTTCAGCTTAAAATATCCATCCTTATTAAAATATATTGATAATTTTTTTTATTATGCAAACAAATTAAGTGTCACACAATTTTTTATTTATAAATAAATCCAAAACTTATAGACCACAGAATCTTAGAAACATATATTTGATTAACACAATATCCAATATACTTAAATGAGTTATTACTTTATAATTTTGCATGTTTATATGAGCTCCTTAACATTCTATAACTTTCATCAATCCTTTTTTTTTTTTTTAACTTTTCTACCATTTCTACTTTAAAATTACTTGCAGCAGTTTTTATTGCTTTCAAGTTATTTTTGCTTGAATGTTTTTCTTTTGGTCATTTATTTATATATATATATATATGTATATATGAATGATGAACAACAGGTTTTCTATTGGATTAATATCTGATAATGTTAGGGGCCATTCTATTAACTTGGTTTTCTTGCAATTATCTATATTTATCTTGATATTATTATCATCAACTCCTATAATTTTACTGCTTACAATACTAAGATGATAGTTTGGTTGCTTTTCTTCTTTTATGTGCCATGTCTTTTCAAGACATAGGTGAACTTGGCTCTTCATTTCTTCCTGTCCCTTGTAGCTCTCAATAATTTTTATCTTTTTGTTATTTCTCCCAGATCCTGTGCTACCATAGACTTGTTTAAGCTTGTTAAGTATGTCATGCATTGCTTTCCCTTGTCCTCCTTTTCTCTCTATCCATCTTGTGAGTATTAGATTTTCTAAGCCCTCCTTTCTCATTATGTGCCTCTTTCTGATGTTAAGTATAAGCTTCCTCTTTATTTACATCCTCTCCAAGACCTCATTGTTGCTCACATGTTCGGTCCATGGTATCCTTAGCATCCTTCTGTAGAACCATACCTCTGTTGCCTCAAGTCTCTTCTTCATCTTTGAGGAGACTATCCAACATTCACTGCCATAAAGAAAGACAGATATACATAGATTTTCAGTACTCTTTTCTTTTAGTTACCAACGAATTTTCCTAGAATTTCTTAATATTTGCTTATTTTTTGGAATGAATCTTTGACTATTCCAAATGTCTTTGGATTTCAGCATTACATTTTCCTGTCGTCTATGAACACTTCCCAGATATTTAAATTTCTGTACCTCATTTAATTTTAGACACTTCAACTTGTAAATTCACATTTCCGAAATTCATCTTTCTTGCTGACAATCATGCATTCTCTGTTCTTACAATTGATGCTTAGTCCCTTTTCTTCTGCTTTCCTTTTTATTTGTCTAGGAGTTTTTGTAATTTTTTTCCATTTTCTGCTATCATCAATACTGTGTCATCTGCATATCTTATGTTGTTAAGATTGTGGCTGTCAGTGATGAATCCCGGTAGGATTTCCAATTCTCTCAGCATTGCCTCACTGTATAGGTTGAATAAGTCTGGTGAGAAGACATATCCTTGCCTTATGCCCCTTTCTATTTTTGTATATATGCTGAACTCATTTTTAAGTGTTTTTTTAATATTCTTTATCATTTCCTCTGTTTAATTTCACAACATTAGCTAATATTTTTCTTCTTGGTAAATCCTCTTTTGTTGCTTACTATCTTTTTAATTTTTTCAAATATTTTTTTATACCATTCTTAAAGCTGTTTTTCTATTATCTTGCCAATGTTTTCAGTTTCTTTTTGATTGTTCTATGGTTTTTGCTGAACTTTATTGCAATAGATAGCAATGTGTCCCTGAGTCAAGTTTATTATATTCAATATCTTGTTTCTCTTTGGGAAAGGTATTTGAATTTACAACTTCCCCAAAATTTATATCAGGAAAATCTTTTTTTTGTGTTTTTAAAATTTTACATCTTTTCTCTGTTTACTTTTGTAATTCCAGTTTCTTCAAATAATTTCTTGTCAATTGATTCACTTGTTTTTATTCTTTTAATTGCCATCCTTTCAAATCTCTTTTTTATGACATTTCTCAAAGTCAGATTTTTTCTTTCTTTTTTCTTATTTTCCAATGTTTTATATGTTATTTGATTGTTCTAATCTAATTTTCATTTTTTTCACAGTTTTTAATCTAATAAATCATGATCAATAACATCTTTTTCATTATTTTTATATAACATAAAAACAACCCTTGAAAATAATAAAAAATAAATATGATCTGAGATGAATGATTGGAATTTCAATCATTTGACCCAGTGGATAAAGAATACATTTGTTTAGGTCCAGTGACTAGACCCAAAGAGTTTATGAGTTCAAACCAAATAGAATTCACTGTGAACCAAAAAACGTGGATTAGTTGAAATGGAAATAACTGTGACATCTGGAAGAGCCATGTCATGTAGAACTAGAACAATCTACCCCGGTGAATGAAATAAAGGGTTCTGTTCAAAAATTTAAATCATCTGAAGAAGGCCAGAATTTACAATTTATTAAAATTAGGATGAATATGGCAATGAAGATGAGGATAACAGTCTGAATAATGTAAATAATGTAAATAACCCATTGTAATCTTTATGTATATAAAATTAAAAAACATCTATAACTATTATATAGCAAAATAGTTATAGATATAATTTAAAAACACCAATAAATTTTTTTCAAATGAAAATAAATGCTTTCCTGAATAAAAACAGCTTTAATATTAACATTAATAGCGAAATAATTTATTATGCAATAATAGTTATAGATATTTATTTGTTAATTTCAGATATATAAAGATTATCATGAGGAATAATATGAAGAACAACCCTTGAATTGCATAAAATCTCATTCCACCAAATAAGTTATTGTAAATATTTAAAAATAAAAACAGATATATAATAAATAAACTGTAAATTTTAGCTTACAATAAGTATAACCTGAAAATTGTACCAACATTGGTTGGTTAAGATGAATTTTGTTGTGATAGATTTTATTATTCAAGTGTTGTAGGTAAAAATAGATTGGGAAATGACATTAATGAAACAGAGGAATATAAATATTTATTCAATTTAACAGTATATTGTATGGTTCCCTTGTACTTTTGTTTTATATCAATGTTTAGTATGCATGCCTTTTAGTTAATTGTTCAAATAACAATAATAATTGTGCATCTCTGTTCATGAATGGAAGTAGTACGGAAGCATCATAGCTGGGGCTTAGTTGATTACTTCAATGTTCATACAAGAACCATGTCAACTAGGCAGTCATAATGAGAATTTGATCCTCAGTTTGAATAACTGACTGAATGAAAGAAAGTTAACCAATTTGATGGTATTTCTAAGTTATGCTTTTTTTTTTATCCAAATATAATCATTTTTTTTACATTTGTAATAAATGCATAAGAAATGGTATACAGTTATCAGATTAACAATCATGATGGGTATATATTCAATTTATTTATTTATTGATACATGTGAACTTTTATTTTTAGGTAAACAGATCTTTCATTAATAAAAATAAAAATAACAATGATCCCTTCTTATTACTCAAAAATTTATATTTTTGTCATGTAAAAAGTTAAAATGACACATGAAAATATAAAATATTTGTAAAAGACAATAGGATAAAAAGGAGAATAATTTTGCTTTTTTTAATTTATTTAATTTTAGGGAAAAAAAATTGAGCCACCCTTTTAAATTTGAATAATTTCTTCATTGAGCTTGAAAACATTTTTTTCATGTATACTGGCCATGATTCCCATTGGAGAACAAGTTAAGAATTACCATTCATGTTTCCATCCTTGATTAGTTGCTGTACAATTGATTGGTTCCAGGTGAGTATTTATGTTCCAATCAACAAAATGCTTAGTAATAAAACAGAATGATAGATGATAACACATCTATAATTTTTTTTTCAAATAATATCCTATGATAGTCATCAATAAATATTTTATCATGGATATGAAAACATCTCTATGAATTTTCACATACTTTCCACTTTGATAAACATATTCCTTTATGTAAATGTTTACAAATACACAGACAGCAATATAACTATATGACAACTGTTTATTTGATGGATACAATTTAAAAGTTTTTTCTTTTCAATAACAACAGTTGAAATATTTAATGACATTTCTAGATTGAAAATAATCATCTGATTGCCAAATTTTGCTTTTCTCTTAGATTTTCCTGTATATATGGTCTTGATAGACAAACACGGCTTTTTTTAGGCTTATAATTGAAGAAAGATTAATAAGGCCAAAATTTACATATCATTAGAGACAAACAATTTTTGCATATTGTATTTTTGTCAGAAAGGTAACAGTGTCAACTTGAAGTGTTTTTTTATAACAAAAATGTAACAATAATACTAGTGTTTTTGTGAAATTTTTAAAATTAATGATTTTATTATATACCATATTATTCAGACCAACATGTTCATTTTATATAAAATTTTTGTGTATTTAAATTTTTTATTATTAAATGTATGCTTGAACATTGTAATTACTATGTCAAGTTTTTCTTGTAAAAAAAGAAATTATAAAAATAGTCTTCCTTGCATGTTGAAAACAGTTTTATTTTCATACAAATCAACTATGTTTAACAATATATAATACATATAGAAATACTGGTTCTCCTCTGATCACCTAAGTTAATCAACATATTGAATAATTTAGTATTACAAAATATGATAACTGTTTTTGGGAATATAATTTAGATAAATTTGAATATCCAGATAGGAATGGATAATGATATTGGAATTTGAAATCTGAGAGCTGAGGTTCAAATTCTTTTTCCATTCATTACATTTACTCGTATCAAAATACTCTTGGGATTCTTCATGTCCCAATCGTCGCATTTTTGACTCTCAGCATAGTAAGACTTGTATTTTAAAGTTATTTTTTCTCAAAATTTTTTTAATACAATTCACTATTTTATTTTATATTTTGAATTTAGTAGAATTTATTATGATACAAATGTTGATAATATTCTGTAAAAAACAGTTAATCAATAATCTTACTTATTATAAAACGCAGGTTGTGTGTGTGTGTGTCTGTAACGTTTATATGTTGGATCGAATTTCCTACATTTTTTAGCCGATTTCAACAAAACTTCACAGGACTACATAAAATTACCTTTTGGTGGTTCTAATGGCGCCGAAAATGGGAAAAACACAGTTGTTTTTTTAATAAAATCAATTTGAAAACACGATTAAGACACATCGTGAGAATGAAAGGGGGACAACTCACCCACGAAAATGTAAACAAAAGAGCATAGCATGATGAAAAAACGCCGAACTTGACGAAAAACAAAATTTTATCGTCTAATGTTCATATTATTATTAAAGAGGAAAGATCAAAGTATTTTTGGGGTATTTTTTTACATTTTTAATCGTTCCTAGCACGTCTGAAATTTTCGTTAAAATATTTTTTTTTTTTTGGTCAAAAAAAGGACAGATAATCAATCATTTTAATCATTTTTTTCGATTTGATAAAAAGATTAAAATCTTACTTTGATATTCTTTTAAAAATCAATTATCATTTTTTCAAAACTGATTTTAATAAAAACAGATATTATACTGTTTATTTAAAATATTTTGAACCAAGCTTAACTTAGCTTCTGCGCCGAAAAAAAATGTAATTTGAAAATAAAACAAAGCAGGTCATAACCTTTCGCGTCGCTTGACGATTGACGAAAGGCACATTCATGACGTTTAGATAACTTACGGAGGGTAATTTTTCTACGGATGGAAGGAAGTGAAATTATTTAAGTGAACAAATTATTTACCTCGTTACTTTTAAAGGAAAACTTTCAGCGCTCTAATTTTTATTTTTATTTTTTTTTTTTTTTTTTTTGTACTTAGCTTTCATTTTTTACGTTTACGATGCTTTATGGAAAATATAAAGAAATTAAAAAATAAGACTGTTAATAGTGAGATTAAATTTCATAAGAAAAAGGTATCTAATTAATTTAGGTACCTTTCTTATGAAATTTTATCAGAAGTGTACATAAAATACTATAATTTTATGTACATTTATTACATTTTACTGTGTTATTTGTATTTCCATTCATTTTATTATTAATTTTGATATTTCATTTATGGAAAAATGTCATAACTGAGATTAATATAAAAATAAGATCATATAAATTAAAGTTTAGCAGTAGTTAAATTTCATAAGATGATACTGTTACTTGTAGGTACCCTTCTCAGTTGAAATTGAAAACTCAAATTAACTTCTCCATACGTGTTTCGCAAAAGTAAAGGGCTTAACAGCGGAGAACAATGATGAACTCAAATAATGCAACTAAATTGTATTCTGGTTGGTCTTCCGTACTTGATAATTACTGTCCGACTATAAACACAAAAATTACATTTCTTAATTACCATGGCTAATCTGATTGGTCCAAATTATACAATTTTCAGAGCGCTAGACAATGACAATCTCACACGGACATTTTGAAAGGTTGATGTTGCTTTTTAACTAATGTTAAAATATTTTTAAAAAATTTAAATTCAATTTAAACATTTTTTAAAAAATTTTTAAAATTAAAGAAATAAGAAATAATTGTATTAAAAATTCAATTTTCATTGAAAAATTTTTTTTGCTTCCAGAAAATATTGTCCATATTCATAAAAACAAATTAAAACAAATGAAAGCATTTGAAACTAAATAATATATTTGTTTTATTGAGTTTTGTGTGTTACAATTCACAGCTGATTTTCAGGTACGTTGGCCAAAAAAAAAAAAAAAAAATACATGATTTGCATTCTTCAAAGCCTTGTGCTTTTAACTATTGTAATCACTAAAACCGATGGTCTCGAATTTCTAGAGTTTTTCATAAAATTAGTTATGGGGGGTGTTAATAAATATAAAAAAAATATTTCTGCCATGACTTTAATAAAAAAAAAACATATTTATAATAATTTTGATCATCTGTGAATAGTTTCTGAAAGTTTCATTAACATCTGACAATTATTTTTATTTTTGCAAGATTTTCCAAATTAATGTGTGTAAATACAAAAAAATGCGCTAAAAATTATCTATGTTATTTACTACCCCTTGTTGCAACAAAGAGAAACAAGGTTTTTTAAATCAAAATTTAGAATATTCTAAAAAGATGGAAAAATTTTAAAAAATAATTAAAAAAAATTTAGTCTATCCTCTTCATAAAAACATAAGCATTTTGACGATAAAATTTTGTTTTCATAAACTTTAGCGTCTTTTTCATCAGACTATGCTCTATGTTTTAGCGATTCCGTGGAGTGACTTAGGTTAAAAAACCCAGGTTGTTTGTGTGTGTGTGTGTGTGTGTGTTCCTTTATATATGGGATCGGATTTCTTACATTTTTCAGCCGATAAAACAAACATCCAATTTTTTTTTTTTTTGGCAGGTAGTATTTCTTATTGTCTTGCACATTTTTTTCTTTATTTACATTCAGAATGCTTTAAAAATTCCATTTACAAGACAATTGTTTATAATAAAATTCTATTCACCAATCGATAGACTCATAACGATTGTAAACAATGTTTTTGTTTGAGTTTGGGTTTGACCAATTCGTAAAAAAAAAAAAAAAAAAAAAATAATTAAGACATGCGTGTCCGTCAACCTTAAACAATAATCTTTGTCAATTTTATTTTTCAGTCTTTATGATGGTCGATACTTGATCTATCTCTTACTGTTACATCCCCAGGCAACGCCGGGCTCTACTGCTAGTATATAATAAATGTAATATATGAATCAATATTTGGAAATAAAATATTTTAATAATTTAAACAAGTATATATGAAATATCTTAAAACCTGGCACTAAGATGTGTGAACATTCACTTGTTGGCATATCTGAAAAAGTAAATATGAATTTTTTTTTTGTTTACACGATGAGATCATTGTAAAAAAAAAATAACAAATCATAAGACAAATTAATTCATCCTTGGTAGCAAACACCTTTGAAAATATCTCGTCTGTTAATTCTACTGAAGACAAATATTTAAAAGACAAATATAATTTTTTGGATTATAGTCTTTCATGAACAAAATTTATATCATTTATATTTTGTCCCATTAATAATTTGTTTTCTTGTTATCTATTTTAGGCCTGGCCCTCAGATGCTCTGGAAATGGTGGCAAATAAATTCTTGGAAGATACTGAAATGGATGATAAAATAAAACAAGAATGTGTAATAATGTGTAAACATTTCCATGAAAGTGTACGGATTATGTCAGAAAAGTAAGAACAACATTTTTCTTTTAGGATTTCTTTTAGCAAATAACCAACATTATGATTCCTATGGAACTTCACATCTGTAGGAGAGTATCGAGAAGTAGTTTTCTGCTTGTAGAATAATGTCAATTTTCTTTGCCTAAATACAATGTGTATTTTGCAAGCATGATTTCAGGTGATTGATTTTATAGAGAAATTAAAATGACTTTTTAATAATCACTTGTAACTATCTAAATCCTAATTGTAACTTTGAAAATTGTTATATAACCTACCTATGAACACTAATGGGTATGTCCCAATCCTCATAAATACGTTGGACACTATTGTGAGGGAGGGTAATATGCTGTCTAAGTAGTCCACCACTAGCAGTGGTTTACCTACTTCACACTGCTGGTGAGTATTGTATTTTGTTTATGTTATATAGATTACAATTTCATTTCCAACCTCCGTTTTGGTTATTCTTCATTCAATAACCTTTCTTAGGTTACAACAAAAATATATGTTTCTTTAATTAAAATGGCATTCTAATAACTGAAATGAATGTGGATTATTTTGATGAAAATAAGAAGATTAGTTGAAGACTTTAGTCTAGACATTTCCTTTATGGTAATAAAATAAGGATATCCTATCTCCCCTCTTGCTTGTAACCATTCACTATAATAAAATAAGTGCTTTCAGTAATAAAAATGACTTAGTCAAATAAAGCTTCATAAACTTCTACTTAGAGTTGTTGCTATATAACAATTTATTTGACTAAATGGAACGTATACTCTGTCCAGACAAACTAACTACAAATCCGGATTCTCTGAATACTGAAAGAAAATACTGTCATTGGAGAAAACCTTTGAAAACTTCTTGGAGGAATGTTGTGATGGAACACCCAACAAGTTATGTTACTTAAGAAAGTATGTATCATCTAGTATCTATGAGTATTCCTCAGATGCAGCCACATATTAAGGAAGCCCCCCAAAATTCTGGGCCAATTATTTATCAGAAAGAAAATCAAAATAGTCCCTTGTTATCTATTTGATACGTGACACCAGCAGCCCTTAGAAACAATCAATGAATTTCTTTGGGAACTAAACAAACTTAGCGAAGATTTTCACCATCACAGCTGACAATACTATACAGAGTTAGTAAGGGATGCATTCATTAAATGGATTATTGTCAACAAACATTCAGCAGTGTTTACTAGAAAATGAAAGCCTTACCTTTCAGCAATCTTACAACCAAGCAAGAATTTTACACCTTGCACAATCTTTCATTTCACAAGACCTAGCAACATCTTTCATTTCACAAGACTCTGTGACTGTAGTGACCAAAGGACTTCCTTCCATTTCTGACCTCTCTCAACACCAGGATTCTTTTGATTCACCAGAAATTGTTGCCTCAATGAGGTGCACTTGTTTTTCTGTGGGGGCAGAATGCATTCTCGCTTGTCATGTCCAGCAAAAGACAATGACTGTTTTTCATGTGGAAAAAGTGTCACTGGTTTAAAATCTGTAAAAACAAAAACAAAAATGTGCATCTCAGTGCCCTGCACATTCTCCTTGGCTTCACTTAGTTGCTTATTGAAAACTACTATAAAAATCAAGGCCAATAAACTCCCTGTTGACACACTGGTTGATACAAGTAGCATAGAAAATTTTATTGACACAGGTATTGTGAATTCAAACTGGTGAAAAATTTTCCATCCTCTAGCAGAGTACTAATGGCTAATGCAGCATTATTATTTCAAGTATCTGGATACTATTTAGTTGACTTGAAAATAAGAGGCCTCATACAATAAAGTGAAATTCTTAATAATGAAGAACCACTTCTGTAATGTAATACTGGGACATGATTTTCTTCAACAACACTTTCATGTCGAGATACCATTTGGTGGACTCAGTCATTAAAATTATGTGGACTAATGACAGCTAAGATACTTGAGACTCTTTGAAAATTTAACACCTCACTGCAAACCAATAGCCATAAAACCAAACTCAGCATACAAATAAAGGCAAAGATTTCATTAATACCAAGATTAAAAGTGGGTTGGTTCTATTATCCCTTCTCTAAGGGATAAGAAAAGCAACCCACTCTCCATGGAGAATGCAAATTCTTGTAACGTCTTCAGAAAACCACAAAATAAGAATGGTTATCAACTATAATCAGACCATTAATAAATTCATCCTATAAAACTAAGTGACAAAGCCTATATTGCATTCATAGTGGGAGGTCGATTTTACCAATTTTGCAAAATCCCCTTCAGTGTAATGAATGACGTTGCCAGCTTTCAAAGAATAATAGATGTAATAATCTTAAAAGAAAACGAAAAGGTACTTTTTCCTTAGATAATGTGTAGATGTATGCAGCCATGACCAACCTAGTCATGATAGGAATCTTAAGCAGTTTATGGCAGCAGTAGAAAAATATAATTTAGCACTAAATTATGATAAATGTTAGGCAAAATGCTATTAAATTACTCAGATATTCCCCATGCCTCCTCACACCATAAGAGCATTCAAAGATCTTAAAAGGAACATTGCAGAAGCCACTGTCACAACAATCGGCCATTCTTAGAAAGTGGCGGCACTATCTAATTGGTCACCATGTCAAACTAATAATGGAACAGAAATCAGTCACCTCCAAAACAGTAAAAGAAGTAAATAGCAAGGTGGAAGATGGAGCTTTCTTGTTTCTCATTTGACATAGCTTATTGCCCCGGCAAAAAGAAAGCTACAGTTAATGAGCTCTCAAAGGTGTGGGGCTCAACTACCTGTACAGATGATCTCCTTAAACTACATAAGGAACTGTACCACCTGGGTGTGATGAGAATGCTCCACATGGTTCGAATTAGAAACTTGCTCTTTTTAATTGAAGATATGAAGGGGGACGTTTAGACCTGCCAAATATGTGTGGAGCTCAAGCCTAGCACCAAAACAGTTATAAAAGCTTAAACTTTTGAAAGACATGTCCTGTATTTTAAGGGACCATTTCCATCAAAAATGTGGAATAAGTACCTACTGACAATTATCAACAAGTACTCTCGTTTTCCATTTGCTCTTCCCTGTCTAGATATGACAGTGACAGTTGTGATTAAAACCCTTTGCTTTCTTTTTGCTTATCTTCAGATTACCTGATTACATCTGCTCTGACTGGGGGACTACTTTCATGTCACATTGCATCAATTCTTGCAAGAACAAGTGGCCATAAGTAGGACAACATCTTATAATCCTCAGGGTAATGGCTAATGTGAAATGTACAACAGCATAGGGAAGTCAGTACAGTTGGTTGCCGCTAACCATGGGTTTTCAATAGACTGCTGGGGAAAGTCTCCTCCCTGAAGCCCTATATGTTATTAGAATGTTGCTGTGTACAGCAACTAATGCCACTCCACATGAAAGGTTCTTTTCCTTCTCACAATAAAGCTCTATGGGTACTTCCTGACATCGTGGCTTCTACAATCGAGGACCATGTTATTGAGACATCATGCTTGCTCTGGCAAGACTGAACCACCTACAGATAGAGTAGAGTTAATAGAGGCAAACCCCCAGTGTGCTCGAGTATGCTATCCTGACTGGAGACAAGACATCGTCTCTCTAAGATATCTGGCCCCAGCAGGAAAGGAAGCAGGTAATGTAACTGGGCAAGAAATACCTGCAATGCACACTCACAATACATCAAGTGATGATTCTACTGAAAGTGCTCTCTGGTCCCCTCATGAGGATTACCTAGAACCTTCAAGTCCAGGATCTTCATAGTACAGCTAGCTCTGACAAACAGTTGGTATTACAGAAATTGGCTCACCCAATTACCAACTGTTTTAATTTAGAAGGTGGTCCAAGTGTCTAAGTAAGTGAAAAGCATGTCAGGTTGGATAAGCTGAGGAATAAACACAAGAAAGACTTGATAAGGTCAAGCCATCCTGATGATCCCAAAGGACCCACAAGGTGCTTGGTCATTTGAAGGATTTTCTTCCATATGAATAAAATAAATACTGGAGGAGAATATGGTAATAAGATAAACACATCCCATCTCCCCTCTCACTTATAACCATTCACTATAATAAAATGTTTCAGTGCTAAAGCTGAACTAGTCAATAAGTTCATAAGTTGTTGCTATATTACATTTACTAAACTTAGGTTAGTGTGATACAAGACTAAACCACTTATAATTACAGTTTACTCACAAATGCTTACAAATAACAACATAGGTCAAGAATATTATATATTCAAATGACTAACCATTGCTATCTTTTCAAATATTTCAAACTTATTTTACTCTTCAAATTCTATATCATCTTAGATAATCTTATAACTTAATCAGTAATATTTGTTTTATCTGTTTAATCTTTTAACCTGACAAATCATTGAAAATAATTCAAATATATTCTCTATTCACAATTTACATGATTCAGAACAACTGCTAATTTAATTCCCATAAACCTCTTCAAACATACGGATTTTTAGCTTTAACTTTTACTACTGCATCATTACTTAATTTTTTTATTTATGATTTTGTCTATTTTTGATATTCTCTTCTTTTCTAGGTATTTTGACATTTTGCGCCGACATAATTATGTCACACCGACATCTTATCTGGAATTGATTTTAACATTTAAGAATCTTTTGGCATCTAAACGTACAGAGGTTCTTACTATGAAGAATCGCTATCTAACAGGTCTGGATAAACTTGACTTTGCTGCCTCTCAAGTGAGCATTATGCAGCAGGAATTGACAGAGATGCAACCAGAATTAATCAAAACATCAGAAGACACAGAGAAGTTGATGGTCAAAATTGAACAAGACACAGTTGAGGTGGAGGCAAAAAAAGAGGTTTGTTTACTTTTTTTTATTTATATTAATAAAAGAATTCCCAGCTTCAGATTCTACTCTTTAGTAGAATTAAGGACCTAATTTTCTTCCAAAAATCTATATTAGACTGTGGAAATTTGCATGAGTAAAAATGATGCTGTTCTTAAGATAAGCTTAGAGTTTTTGTTTGAATAACAAAGAGAATACTTAAAATAAAAAACAATAGAAATATCAGTTGGGAGTTTAATAATGTGAAATGCTGAAAGAGATTTTAAGAACACAAGAAAACCTTCTGTCACTAAATTTGAAAGCAACACACTGAGTAAAAGTTAAGGAAACAATAAAAATGTGAATGAAGTACTGAAAGTTGTGAAATCAGAAAACATTACTGACACAAAAACATTGCAGGTTCAAACCTAGTTGCAGATCAGGTGAACATTAAGAAAGTGGCAGAACAAGAATCATGGTGGAAGAAGAGGATTATGCAAAAAAATTGCAAATTTGGGGAAAGATATCAGCAAGTAACAATAACATGACCAATAGCATGCTTGCCACTAATATGGAAATTACAAGATTATTGGCAGAAGATATTTACCAACACTTTGTACCAGTAGAACAGAAGAGATATAGCTGGAGAGCAAAAGATCAGCTTCACATTGTTAAAATGGTACTAAAAAATTGTTATAGGAGGTTGAAAAATTTAAGTATGACATGAATATACTATTAAAAAAAAGCTTATGACATGGTTCCCCACTCAAATATTTTTAAATGTTTATTCATGATGAAAGCAGCAAAAAGTACCAAGAATCAGCTGAAAAACTCCATGAGGAAATAGATAAACAGAATTGACAAGTGTGCAGTAAGTGTTAGGAGAGGTTGAAATAAAGTGGAATTTTCTAAGGTTTTTAATTTTATTCATTTTGGCAATGATGATTCTATCTGTGATGTTGAATAACATGAAATGCATATATTCCTTAGGCAAGGGAAGAAATAAGATAAATCATCGTTTATATATGGATGACTTAAAGTTGTATAGAAAGGACATAGAAGAAACTGACTCAAACAATGAGAATTTGTAGTGTAGATATTGGAATGAAGTTTGGTATGGAGGAATGTGTAGTGGTGAAGTTTAATCTAATTTAAAGATAATATACCCAGTAGGTATTGAGTTACCTGATGAAAAAATCACTGGAAGATGGAGATGTGTATAAATACCTTGGAATAATACAGTGCAAGAAAATTAAGAATGTCAAAATGACAGAAAAAGTAACAAAAGAATATTTTTGCAGGTTAAAGAAATTATTAGGATTCAGCTTGAATGCATGAAACAATGTTTTTGCAATCATTTTTAGAGCTGTATCAATTGTTCATGATTTAATGTAAGAAATTTTGGAAGTTTGGGAAAGACTAGCAAAGAAAGTAATTATAGTACCAGTGCTCATTGAAGCACTGGGATGTTGTACAAAAACATGAAAAAAATATATTTCAGGTATTTGCTTGTGATTTGTAAATAAAAATACAAAGGTTACATAATCAAAACAGCAAAGATGCTTCAGAAAGTATTGGATACAGCCTGTTGGTGATAAGAAGAAATGAATGTTTTATTTTCTTATGTCACAAGTGGTGACCTAAAAATAAACTTTTTACCAGCAACCAACATAATATGCTGTGAATAATAATAATAATAATAATAATTACAAAAAGCTAATGGCTTTTATGTATTTAACTCCTTTAATGTTTTTACTTTAATAAACAAAATTAATATTTTTATATAAGACATGAGTTGAAATTTCTTCCATGTGATATTGCTTGAAATTCATTGTCTCTTCAATTTTAATGCTTGCTGTTTAAAAAAAAATCTGATGAAAATGTTTGTTATTATTGATTGCTTTGTTTCTCAGGTGGTTGCAGCAGATGAAGCTATAGCGAATGAAGCAGCTGCAGCTGCCCAAGCTATAAAAGATGAATGTGAGAGTGACTTAGCAGAAGCTATTCCAACTTTGGAATCTGCTATTCATGCCCTGAATACTTTGAAACCATCAGACATCACACTGCTCAAAAGCATGATGGTAAACCAGCTTATTAAAATAATTTTTCTACTGTTATCATTTACATTTTAGCTTGTCAAGATTTACTGAGGTATTTTATTTCTACAATGTCAATAGAACAATGAACAGATGTAGGTGTTACAAGTTAACAGTAGTGAAAAAATACTCATATCAAATAAACTGAGAGTAGACTATGAAATAAAAAGTGATTGAAAGAGGATCAGCCATAATTAATGAAGCCAAATTGATTTGATATTCTTTGGATGCTGCTGATCAAAGTGGGTTCTATAAAAAAAAATAATAGGTCTTGACAGTGGTTATAATTTTACAGTTGTTTATTCCAGCATCATAATGGACTATATGAAAACAATTTCTGGCAGAATTACACTCCTACCTTGTCTTTTGAACAAGTGTAAATGTTTATTCCTTATTCCCTGTTTAGGATTGGGTTTCCGGTTCCTTCTAAAATCTACTTCAAGTCTTTACTTCTAATCTCTCTGCCTGAACTCTGAAATCTTATTCACTAATTAAATCTTGACCTCTGCAAATCTAGAATTATCTTTACTGCATCACCCCAAGAACTTCTTTTCCTTTCTTATACTAACACAACTCCACACAGTAACCCTCTACCTTGAGTGGCTCTCGGGCTTTGTATTGGGTGAACATTAGTAAAAAAAAAATATATAACACAAACCTAAGCTTTTTTCTTAGTCTGAACAAAATAGTTTAGAAGCTGCTTTACCATCTTTTATTTTTTATTAAAAAAGAAAAACCAACTAAAAATTAAGATTAAAGTAAATATGAGTAAATAAATTAATACTGACTAAACCAACCATAAACCAATTAGGTTCCTTTTTAAAATCAGTTCATGATACAAAATGATGAGTGTATATGATAGGTGTATCTGGTAATTAAACAAAGAATGATGTATTTGTATCTGTAAATTATTTTCTTAATGAAATTAAGCTTGAAAATCAATGATAAACATTAAATTATCAAATAATAAACTTTTAGAATGAACAATAAATTAACAATGCCAGAATAAAATAGGAGGCCTATCATTGTTCCAGGACTATAACCTGGCTTTAATTTGAAACATTCTTTTAATGCAAACATTGCCCTGCAGGAAAACCTTTACTTTTTTTAGAATGGAATTGCAAACTGATATTGCACTGAAGGCCTTTCCATTCAAGGAATAGTAGCCCTGGGGTGACAATTTATACCACTTTTAGCATTTACCATAATATTATTTTCGTTTTCTTAGGGAGATTCATATTTACTGAGATAACAAAGTATGGATACTTCCTTTTTGTGCATTTAGCTTTTCTAGATAATTTTTTCAAAAGAATAATTTTTCATTATACATACTTGTTTCTTCTTCATGATTATTTGAAAAAGCATAACTGTGAGAAATCAGCATCTATTTATTTATTTACCATCAAGTCATGTGACACAATTGCGTTTTACAATGACATACTTGTATTGTGTCCTAACAAGTACTTGTGAGATATTTGTTTATAAAAACAAGTTTTAATGTAATGTAGTGAATTGTATAAATGTATGTTGTGTTCTGTATATTTAAATTTATTTAATAATGTTGTTATAATATATTATGCATGTTTATTATTTTTCACACACATAATTGTTGGAATATAACATGCAAGTATTTGTTTATATATACAGACTAGTTCAGGAAATCCTTGTCTAATTTTAACATAATTTGGCTTGTATTTGGCAGGGGTTCAAGGTAGATTGTGCTCCTAAATTGGTTGGAGTTTTATGCATTGTTTAAGCTGTATCTCAGGAACACACATACATGCACAAGATTAAAGTTTTAGTATTATATAGATAGTTCAGAGTTTCTTCAGAGCATAAATCAAATTTAATCATAATCACTGTATTGCAGTGTGTATGTGCATATGTGTAATATATATATTTATATATATATATATATATATATATATATATATAGGACACTGAGGTGAACACCAAGTGGCAACAGTTTTTTTCATGCTGCATTGCAATCGTCAAGCCCTGTGTGTTGAAGATTGCATTGAACCATGAAACAGACTGTGACTGTTTGGTGTTCACCTCGGTATCCATTTTTATATTTATATACAGTCTATCTATAATATTGTGCGCTTTTACCCATAAATATAGCATACCTTAAAACTATATTTTTATCATATATATATATATATATATATATATATATATATATATTATGAGTATAATTGTATGAGAATCCAACAGAATGATAAAGGTATAAGACAATTTGGAAAATTTTTACTTTGACTTTCCCATTTTGTCTGACTCATGTAGGTTTTGTTCTTGTGAAAAAAAATTTGATGAAACATGTCAAAGTAAAAGAAAATTGTCCAAATTATCTTTAATATGTATGTATATATAAAAATAAGAGAGAGATTTATTAAACTTGGTGCAAGTTAAAATGGGGGTAGTAAAATTGTATTGCATCTATTTGATCCTCAAATTAGTAACAAAACTCATTATTGGAAATCTGGTCTAAAATTCCATTTTTTCTTTTTTTTTATTCTTTTTTTTATTTTAAATTTTGCACCAGGATTAATTTTGGTAGCTTTTGATGATGCTGATTGTCACCAAGAATGAAATCCTCTTTGCAGATTTCCATTCGGTTATATGTATAGGAGATATTTATTAAAATTAACTTAATCTAGACTATAATTTGGTACAGCTAGTTAGAATCAAACCCATTGCCATGTATGAGTATATAAGAAGGACTGGTTTAAATAGTTCAAATTGACAATTTAAATAATCTATTTAAAATGAATGGTAGTTATCAAACTGAGCCTCTACAATTATTGGAAAAAAAAAGTATATATGTATTCACCTGGTTGTCATAAAATGATTCATCATGGTTGACAAAATCTAACCAAACCTAATGCATTGCATTCATAATAGTCTGGGATGAAACTTGTTTGCTGATTACAAGATACCCAATGCCATTTTGTACTTGTTCCCACCCACCCCAATTTAAGTATTATATACATTGTGATCTTTTGTGATTTGCCACTCAGAATCCTCCTCTTGTTGTCAAATTGGTAATGGAGGCTGTGTGTGTCATGCTGAGCATAAAGCCAGAACGTAAACCAGATGGAAGTGGTAAAATGGTTGATGACTACTGGATTCCATCCCAAAAACTCCTTGGGGACCTCAGATTTCTGGAGAGGCTCAAAACTTACAACAAAGATAACATCCCTGCTGCAATCATGAGTAAAATTCGAAAAACGTAAGTAATGGGCTTCATTATTGTTTTTCTACATTTTTAGATAATTTTCCCACCTCCCAGGTCTTGTGAGAGTTTAACTTTTGTCTATTTATTTAAAATCATTTTGCTTCATATTGAAGTCTTTTGTCATTCTCTTGTATCTTTCCTTAGAATTTACTCTTCAGATAGATTTCTTTATTTTTCATTTCAAACATTTCTTTTTCTTATTTGGCAACAAATTAACTGATTCCATTTCTCAACTATTTCAACTGTATTCTCTTTAAAACCTCAACTAACTTTTCGCTAGCTTGTCTATTATTTTAAAAATTTTGATGATGGGTGATCTCAGAAAAATACTTCATATTTACATTTCTGTATCCCTCCACACACTAAAAGAACAAGACCAGTTAGACAGATTTTCATTGAATATTTGCTTCTAATTTAGAAATCAAGCTGCCAATAATGTTATAAATATGCACGAATAATAAACAGAAGAAATTAACATGATAAGTTTTGACAAGATTCAATTGTTTAATCTTGGTAATCACTGAATCACTCAACTATTGAAAAAAAATCAACAAGTGGAGAATGCCACTGTTCTTGGATGATATTCGACAAAATCTATATTTGTCAAGAAACTTCATACCTACTAGTTTGGATCTAGATCTTCTCAATTAGGCTCATATTTAGTGATTGCTCAAGCCAGAACATTTTTGTCAGTCAGGTGTTGGCAGATCAAGCAGAATAGCAAAGTGTCCTGGTGGAAGATAACATTTCGATCATTATTGACTCTGAGTCATGGAAAGAAGAATATTTTAGTATTTTGCAGCATTTAAGTTTTTTCCCACTTAATTAGCTGGGAAATTTTTTGGCAAAAAATGACTCAGACAAAAATGCCACCTCTGTGATGTTTACTAGACTAAGACAATCACTGGTTTTTCTAAAAGAGTGTTGCTGACCAACTCAAACCTGCTTTCATTAGTAAATATCAGTTAGAAAAACCAGTCTTTGTCGTTGTAAAATGTGGTTTTAGGGGGCAAAACAAATTTGTTTCTCTTCCTTTTTCACACGTTTCTTGCTTTCCTTCCTTCTTTCATTGTGCTTCATCCGTCAGTTCTGTGGCTTGATACTTGATGAAGCCTGTCCACAAACTGATTTCTCATTGATTCATATAGTCACTTTTCTACCCCCAATTTGCTGGTGTTTTTTTTTCACCATCCATTATGGGCAAGGCAGGTAGCATCCATTATGACAAAATTCTGTTACATAAAGCTCACAAAGTAGCATGGGTAATAGTTATTTTGGGGACTCAAGAGGATTTTTTGTCATAACTTGAATTGGATTGAAGACAGTCTTCTAGCCATCACCTAGTTTTGGCAATTTTAAATTCCTTGGCAAGTTGAGAATTTGTTTCTTGTTCCATAAAACTTATCTGTCATCTCTTAGTGTGATGGATTTGTCTTCCAGAACCTTCTTTCATTGTTACTTTTCCCTCGCTTTAGAAACTGCGAATAATTGAATGAATATAATCTTTACTTACTTTAAAAATATTTTTCATAAAAAAATATTTCATAGTTTTAATAAGTGTATTTTAAATAGGGGCATAATATCAAAACTTCAGCTCCTATCTGCTTATATAATTACAAAATAAACGAAAGTAGAGCTCTTCTTTTCTTCTAGACAAGTAAACTATTTTGGGCCAATGCAGCTATAGTTTGTAATTTAGTTGAATAAAATCATATGAAACTTAACATGAATATTTTTCATTCTAGTTTACAATATATTCAGTTAATGGGTTGAATTGCCCCCAACCAACTACAGTTCTAAATAATGAACTTCATCTATAAAAAGGTATATCTATGAGCAAAATTGTGGCCAATTATCTCAGTGTAATACATTCAGCTGCTAAATCTTTTTTGAAATAGGAGTTATTTATTCTACGGAACCATGACCTTACATACTTTAGGTGAACATGTGGAATGATTGTATAAAAGTAGGAATCACATTTTCCAGTGGTACTCAGATCTTTCCTACTCTAGTTATATATGTAAGGATGTGTAAAAAAGCAGAAACTGTGACGTGTGCTTTGTCAACAAGTGGGAGAAAAAAAATTCACAATTTTATAATACAGGAGATATGTGTAATAATAGACTACGGTTTAGTGTAATTGACAAAATTCTCAACAACTTAAAGTGCAATATTCTCAATAAATAATAAGAAGAAAAGGATAAAATAATATGAACCAAAAAAGAACAGGGCAAAAATAATACAAAGCAAACATATATATATATATATATATATATATATATATATATATATATATATGTGTGTGTGTGTGTGTTAACACTGTAGGCAAATGTGGGGTATCACCCAAAGCTTCACAATGCTACTGTTGTTTCTGTAGCTAGTAGTTTTTTTTTATGAAGTTTTTAGCCCCCACTCTATAAACATTTTTGAGTTCAGTCATTTTCTAGAGTAGTTGCTAGCTGATTCTAGAGTCCTGAGTCTGCTTTGCTATCAACCCTTACCTGGGAGAAGAGAAGAGATAGATTCATGCCTTTCCCAAGGGTATTTGTATGAAAGTCAATGTTATGTGCACATCGATGGTGTTAATTAGTGGAGATATAAAAATGAGTAAATAATATGGCTGAAAATAAAATAACTGATGAGAAGGAAATTTTGAATCATTTCTAAATCAAATTTATATAGAAACTATAAAAACTTTCCTTCCACCCAGATATTTAAACAAATTCTTGATAATGGTTAGCCAAGAATACATAAAATATGGATCTGTACAAAGAATCTCATTGAACATAGTTATTAAGTCAAGACTAGTATATAATATATTGAAGCAAGCAGCATTAGAAGTTATTTGTGTATGTTTTCTAAGGAAGGTTTAATAGTTTCAATGGGAATATTATCTTCAAAGAGATGAGGTTTGGTAAATCAGTGGATATCTTAAAACTGCTTTTCTGTAAAGAGAAACATTTGATAGACAAATTTACATTAGGGGCCTTCAGAAAATCTTCTTCAGGGGCCAATTCATCCCAAAGTTGTCAGATGCTTCTCATGCATGATATTCTCATGATTAGAAAATAACTAATAATATTAGAAACAATTGCTTCTAAATATGACTTGATCATTTTTATACGGTATTTTAATCATAAATTGCATGGCATTATGATCACCCATATTGATGATTTCTATTTTGCTAGACTGGAATATTTTCATGCCATGTTATGAAGCAGTCTTATAAAATTTTCAGAATTAAATCAGTTGACTCTAACCAATTTTAAGGGTTGACTAAATGATTTGCATAAGTGTGTCGACAGGTTTGCAATTGTGGAATTAAATCCTTTTGTGAGGACATATTCTCTGTTTTACACAGATTTCATTCTAGCTACCATCTGGAAACTTTTTATTAAATCAAAATAACCATTCCTATGTAAATAAAAGGATTGGTTGTGTGGACTTAATTTGATCAATATATTATTGATATGTGTGTATTTTCTTTTGTCATGTCTTTTTTAACCTGGCTGCACAGTAATTTTATTTATTTACCTTAATTCAGCACTAATGATTCAGGTGTGATAACTGGTTAGCACACTCTATTTTTTTCTCATTTTCACTTGTTGTTCTTTTTTTTCTTTTCTATTCTTCTATTTTCATACCAACATCATAGTGGTTTTTCCGGTTTTTTGTATTTTTTTTTAAAATCATTTTACCCGAAGCAAAGAAATAAAGCCACTGAAACAAGGAGAGTACTGAGTGTGAAAGAATAGAAGAAAAAGAAAAATGTATTAAAAATACAATAAAAGAACAGGAACTAAGAATATAGGAGATAACGATTCACATGGCATTAAAATTTTTGGAGGTCAAAATTGACTGGAAAGCAAGAAATTGGAAGAAAGTTTCATGAGTGAGAAGTGTAAGAAAAGAAACTGTTAACATTTCAATTGTAAAATGATGCGCAATCTAAGCTGCCAATTTAGTACTGTTTTTAAGTTCATAAAGTTGGAGTACCAAAGAGAAAAGCGATATTTATTCTGTTAAAATACAGAAATGTGGCACAAGGCCGTAGTGAGGATTGGGGAAAGGATGGTCTTCTGTCTTAACTATAACTTAGCTAGCCGCAAACACTGACACAATCGTATAAACAATATTCCTTACACCAAAACAACACATTCATATGTACCTTTCTTACTACATCGACCATAATACCTCATTGTCTCTATAAAAATACTAACTAGTCCCCATATTTACAATTCATTGTCTGTTGGGGGAGGAGAATAAAGCAACAATTCTAAAAACTAGACCCAATGAGTATTTACAAATATGAATACAAAACTATTTACAAGAAACTAAAGAAAATAATATTAGTAGTAACCCCCCCAATCACTAAATGCTAACACCAGAAATCAATGCAGGACTATAATAATATAAAACATCCATTCATCCCAAGCAATCACACTGACATGCACTCATTCAGACACAACAACAAATACGAAAAAACACCCACACGAAACGAAAGGCGCCCCGCATCCACCAGCAAAATGATATCACTGACCACCTAACAAGGGAGGGGATGGGGAATTAAACATAAACAAAAGTAGGGACAGAAATAAAAGGTGGGCAATGAGCAAACATGCCCTAGCTAAGTTAACTGAAAAAGGAAACTAAAGAATCAAATTAAACCTAACCTAGCCTAGTTTCGGGATGGGTTGCATAAGTTCAACCCAGAAAGAGCAATATTATGATGCCTAACCGGCATCAATGTGCCACTCAAGGTCAGCTCCTTTCACATGACACAAACGTGCAAGTTTCACCCACCTTTTGCTGAATTCTGATGAAGTGAGCCACCGCCTTTCTGTCCTAATCTTGACTTTAAACTGATGCTTAAAGTACAAGATCAGTTGGGAAGAGGTGAACTTCTCACCTCCATAGAATCCTTTCTGACATGTCGTCCAAATCACGACTCTCATAATGCCTAGCAAGCAGTGGAACACATATTGTTCAGCCTT